ATATATATATATTATTTTAAAGCATGTGTAAGTTTTGTCAGTGTGCATGCAGTCATGCTTTAAACCATTAAAGTGGACTAGTCCCTCTTTTTGATGATGTTGTAGGCCTGCTTTTAATAAAGTAACAATTCTTTTCAGTTATGCATGTTATTACAGACAATAAATAACATGCTGTGATTTACAGTGTTTCCTCCCCTGCATGCATGAAATGTCCTCAGTTGCACTACGTTGTTGGCTATCTGTCTTAATATTTGAAGGAAGAAGCTGCCGTCGGGCAGAGCGCTGTGCCAGAGAGTAACGATTATTAACGGAGTCTGCAGCACAAGCCAGGCGAATCCCTGGGGCAGATTTTTACCAATGCTAGAATGTAATTTCTTTGTAGATCCTATGTGGATTTTTGTATTTCAGTTTTAGCCGTGGCAGAACCAAAGCGAGCCCAATAGAATCTGTTATCAATGCAGTGGAGGACAACTGGGTCAGATGGTTCTGTGGATGTTTTGGTGATCGATCGTTTCTTAAACCGAGCCGTTTGTATTTTTGTGGGAACCAGAGGACGAACGTTGTAGCTGATAAAAACAAAGATACAAGTTAAAGGTGGTAACTCGACACAAATTACAAATAGTTTACGCCAAGCTTTGTGTACATTTTAACGAGGCAAACTAAAAAAACTCAGCCAATGAATATTTTCTAAGACAATATTTTAATTAATTTTGATGCAGAAGAGCTAACTATTTTCTGTTCCATTTATTTTTGCAGTGGGACTGTTTTATACCTCACTCTGTCCAACAGCTGTTTCACAATCCTGACATTTTAACAATCTGTTCGTAAAATTAGCTTCTACTAGCATGACTTTATGCTCAGTGACATAAATAGCTACTTTTACCGAGTTAGATAATTGTAGATATGATTTATGGCACTTGGGAACTTGTACTAGTATTATAGGTATTTGTACACACAAAAATAAAAATAAAAACTGTTGACATTGGCATAACAGGCCTGTGTTGCAGAAGGATCAGTATTCTGTAAGTTGTGCCGTTTCACTTGCCTATATATATATATTGGGAATGATTCAAGTGAGAGATATTTTAAATGTCTTCAAATATTAAAACACATTGGTAGTATCTCTAATATTTTGTCCTGAGCTTCTGGAACAATACACTCAGCGTTGCCTACATGCCAAAACTTCTTCACACGTTCTCATCAGTAAACGTCTTGTCTTCATTCGACCCTTCAGTGACTCGTGAATAGAATAGAAATTATAACAGACATTTTAAATTGTGCATGCACAACAAAAGGTTGGAGTTCAAAAAAAAAAAAAAAAAAAAAATCCATCTCTTGCAGTGCAAACTTTTTAATGTAATGTGTCTGAAATGATGTTTACAGCTAGCTCCAACCAAAACAGTTAGGCAACAAAACAACTTATCACTTATAGCTATCTCTATTACTGCAGAAATCAGTTAAAAAAAAAAAACTATAAATAAAAGCAAAGTATGAAACACCAGATTAAATACGCTCCTGCTGTAAAATGCTTCGCTGCATTTGAGTCTGTTGTAGACGTTATATATCTGGCAGCTGGCAAAGTAAATGCTGCGTATAATCTGGTGCGTTCGGTGCACTCAGTTCTGCTCGCACGCACAGACTCTTTGGACAATGTCCAAGAAACGCTGAGGCTGTAGCGTAAGTGTGACGGGGGATTACGACGAGCGGCGCCTCCACTCCATTTGACTCCATCCCAATTAGAGCAAAGGAGTTTACGGTGACTTTGGCTACAGTTTCGTAAAGAGCCTAGAGTTTAGTAGCCACATACGCAAAGGAGATAATCGTCTCTTAGACAGAAAGCACCAGAAAGTCATTTTGCTTTCTCTCAATCAATGGAGTGTGTCTGAGGGCGAGATGCTCCCATCACTGCTACTGAATTCCCAGTGGGACTCCCACAGAGTTTTATTACATACATATTAAACAAGAAAGGGGGCGCTACATGTTGATTTTTTTAATAGAAATCATATATGTTACTTATTCGTTTGCCAAATGGGAGATGAAAACACTTGTCGTGGGGGGAAAGCATGACAATAACGATCATTTGTGAGCTTTCAGAGCTACGTGCTCTTCTCCCAAGTGTGCTCCCATTAGCTATGCTTACAGAAGTAATCTGATTAAACGGCCATTCGGAATAAGAGTGCGTCATGTAAGCGCCCCATTCGGATTATTCTTTGCTGGTTCAGCTCGATCCGAATGAATTTGTAATCCAAATGAGACGTGTGGTTTGTGCTGAGTCATAATCTGAACGGTGCGCATGTAAACACTTAACCTGATCATTTTTTTTTTCCGATTGTGGAAAACTGACCTGACTGCGCATGTGCGACCTGTCTACCTCACGTATTTCCGCCTGGCTAATGCGAATAATATTAGCATGTCGGGGAAGCACAACTGGTTGGTTAGCGACAACTACTAGAAGCTTTGACCGAGCTCAGAATGATCTGCATCACCTGCAGCTGTCGGGCAGTGCAGCAACGTCTCCACCGTCATTAAAACCTGGCGCGGGGCCGTTTTGGGCGCTCCGGTTTGTTTACGTTCATCACGGAAGTAGAACTTCTTCTTCTGCGTTTTTTTTAAGGAGAGTTTACCACTCCGCACACGTCAGCACTTCTTTTCTGCATGTAAACACTCGTCACGACCGGACTGTGCCCATGTAAATGATGTATTTGAATTATTTAATCTGAAGATAGTTCAGTTCAATCAACGAACTGTGCGCATGTAAACATAGTGTTGCTTGATGTCCAGAAGGGTCCCAGGGTGGACGTGAGGAGCTTTATTGTCTATTCAGGTCTGTGCACGGCGAATGGGTCCAGGGTCTCAAGATTTAGCGTTCGTTTGTCACTAATGGGTTTGATAAGGTAAACGTGGCTATTTGCCGTTTGTTCTGTAAACAAAAGCAGGAATTAAAATGTTGAAAGTCTTAACTTTTCTCAGTGAGTTCATTGTTTAGGTCTGTGTTCGTAGTTTTTATTTCCTCGACAAAAACAAGAAAAATCAGCCTTTTTTTTTTTTTCCCCTTTTGCATCAAAAGCAGCTCAGAGGGAGCAAAGAACACATTCCTGAAATTTGCAAATTGTACATCTGCACGGTGACGTATGAGCCATCGGCTCCGTGGCAAGGGTTAGGGTGGAGCGTGATGCATTGTTCATCCGTCATCTTTGTGCTCACGTAGGGAAGTCAAAGAAAAAACTGAGGGCCTTTACATGTTGGCTGTAATTTCACACACTGCAGTGTTCTTTGACTAATTGTTACAGATTTGATTCCCAGTCCTTCTGTGTTGGATAATTACCATTATTTAGTGGTAAAGGTTGTTATCGGGTCCATCATTATGGATATAATCAGCTGTTCAAAGCAAACTTTGGGTCTGACGTTGGTTTAGCATGACATTTAATTCAAAAGGGTCATTAGGACTTAAGTAGTTAATATAGATTTGATTCAGTTAAATAGTATGTTAGTTGTCAGAATATGTGATTTTGCAATGGTTTTGATGTTATTCGGGGTTAATGTAACACAAACTCATGAGGGTTTTTATAAAAAGTGCATCAAAAAACAAATAAATAATTCTCACCTTTTGTTTAGAACTAAATTTGTTGATTAGTTATGTTCCCTCCGCCTGAAATTACTTTGCTTTTGTCCACGCATTAGTTATTTTGACTCCTCTGGAACATTGATCTCCCTCTGACTAATAAACATTTTAATTAATTAACTTTTTAATTTCTTTTTTTTTTTTTTTCACACACTGTCCAAAATGTCCTTGTCAATGTTCAAATGGAAACAAATGAGTTGTAATTGTTGGCAAAAAAACACGACTTTTTGATTTTGCTCATTTATTACATCTTATGCCGTAGACTTCTTGTAGTGATTGACGTGTATTTAATGGGCATAATAATAATAATAATACATGCACACAAAACATTAAAATCAAAAGCATTGAATATTATTTGACAGCTAATAAATGATACATAAAATAACAGGTGTGAATAAAGACAGATTAGTTAAATTATGCATTTATTATGCTTCTCTCCACTGGCTCCCTGTCAAATTCAGAATAGAAGTCAAAATCTTCTAACCTACAAAGCCCTCAACAACCTAGCTCCATCTTATATTACAGATGTTTTTGTTCCATATTTTCCTAACAGAGCACTTCGCTCTCAGAATGTGGGCTTACTTGTGGTTCCTAGAGTTTACAAAAGCAGAATGGGAGCAAGATCCTTCAGTTCTCAGGCTCCTCTCTTGTGGAACTAATGTCCAGTTTCTGTCTGTGAGACTGACACATTGTCCAGTTTAAAGACTTTTCTTTTTTGATAAATCCTATAGTTAGAGTTGGCTTGTTATGCTGCTATAGGCTTAGACTACTGGAGGACGAACTGACCTCATTTCTTAAATTAATTGTTACAATTGAATAGTTTTCATGTGATACTAGTTCTATCTTAACATGTGATTCTTGACCTGCCATTGTGTATCTATTCCTCTCAAACCCAGCCGGTCGAAGCAGATGACCTCTTGTCCTGGTTCTGCTAAAGGTTTCTTCCTCATGAGGGAGTTTTTCCTTTCCACTGTCGCCTTCATGCTCAAGATGAGTCTGTGATGGAGTTAAACTCAAAGCGGTCTGCTCCTCGGATAAATAATGTTAATTAACTTTTTATGTATATGAATGTTTCTGTTCAGTGCCCCGAGATGACTTCTGTTGTGACTTGGCGCCGTATAAACTGAATTAAATTAAATTTGTTTGCATTTAACCGTGTTATTACAGTCGTATCACAAACATGACAGAAACAAAACCACCTTACAGATCATTCGCTGCTTGAACGCTGCACGGATCTGTTGTAGTTTGGTGTTCACGGACAACTTGTTGCTGAATTTTAATACGCTAAAGTCACTAGTTCAAACCAGCAGCTGCCTGAAGCAAGGAATGTCCAGAACAAAAGTTAAAAGCGGCCTAACCAAGTCCAACTCGTTCTTTTCCTTTAATCTGTCTGTGAGACAGAAAGACAGGAGTTAGGACACCTGTAATGCGCTGTTTTTCAAGTTTTATTTACCTTGAGAGACCTCCACCTGGTGCCCCCTCGCCACCTCCTGCCAGTACTGCAGCATTCTGCCGGAGCCGTCTGCCTCCATGTCCGCGCCCTCCTCCTCCAGGCTGCCCGCGTCCGAGAGCTGCTCCTCGGTGAAAGCCTCCAGGTCCTCCAGGGTGATCATTCCGTTTCCTCCGCCGCCGCCGCCGCTCATCTGGCAACCGCCTCGGTCCATTTCAAAGCCTCGAACAAAAAGCCTCGAAAGTGAAAATTTAAAAAGAATAAAAAAAAGTTGAAAGTACTTTACTTGTTTGTTTTGAATCTCTTCGCAGCGTACACTTTGTACAGATTATCACAGCCGGTTTCTGCTCAACAACCGAGACGCTGCGACGCTACAACCGAAGCGTTTCACCATATTTGTTTTCGTTCTTTTACCCGACGTTCGTAAACTACGTCCCTTTATTGGGGGAACGTTTAAAAATCGCTAATAATACTAAAAAGTAGTCGAGCTTCTTTCTCGTGCAGAGGAGCGTGACACTTTACCGAGCTGTGTGTGTGTGTGGTGTTTATGAAGCTGGGCCGCCCGGCCACGGGCGGTAGCACGTGACGCTTGGGTTCTCGCAAGCCCCGCCCCGCCGCGCAGCCCGAGTAAATAAATACGAGCCTCCTGTCAGAGCACAGTGCAGACAGGTCTTTAAACAGGGAAGTCTGAGCGGCTCAATGCAAATCAGTGTCACAAGCATGAGTAAAATAAGGCTCACATAAAGCTGGGACATCTGAGCCTTAACATTCTTACTGAGTTATTGGAAACAAATAATAATAATTTGGCACTATAGCTCACAACCATCTAGATTAAAACACATATGCTTAGATTAACATTACTGTATTCCAGAAATGTTAATTAAAGGAACTGTGCGGTTAAAATAACCAACCTAAAATGAGCAGGTTGCTCTTCATCTGAATAAATTAAAGATTTATATATACATCGAAATGTGTACTTTTGAAAAACTTTTTATGCATTTGTGAATCGTGTAGTACGCGTTTGTAAAAGTTGCGGTATGCTTTTGCGACTACTTTCGAGAGTGATTTATCTTCATAGTAAACAGTGCAACTAAAGGTGACGTATTAATTCACATTTTATGTGCATTCTGATTTAGATTAATTAATGTGCAATTTATAAACGTGGTTAATATTAAAATATCTGAGTATCTGGTGACAGCAGGGCATCTTTTGTGTTTAACTTTTTAACGCTCCAAGAAGATGGACATGGATGCAGGTATCTCCTCTGCTTGTTTTTATGTTGTTTTTTTCCCATAAAGTTGTTAAGAAACTACATAAATGTTAGGCAGAAGATTATTAACAAAACTGAATTTGATCACCAGGGGACATCTTTCACATAATCTCTGTGGCTGCAACAGCCAGCCGCCATGTCGTACCCTTCAGCGTGCACGTAGAGAGGAAATTATACAATCCACTATATTCTGTGGGAGTGTCAGAGTACGCCTTTACACCGTAGTTACAGTAACAACACGTTACAAGGAGGAGGGACCTCATCGCTCCCCTCCCTGACTCTACTGGTGTTCACATGAACTGCGTTCAGGTTTATTCGATAAGTCGGTGTTCAGAGTCAGACCAGTGTGAATCACTAATCCACACTTGCAGCAACAGTAATCCTCTTCTTTATACTTCTCCCACCTGGAAGTGTCACTGATACTCAAGTAGAAACACCAAGGTTACATCCAGTAGTTGGAAAAGTTCATTTCTTTGTAAATAAGAGTAACCACAGTCTTTTTATTCCCTGTTTTTGTTCTCAAATAGTCTCCATTATTTACATATTTTAATGTAAATCTAAATAATGCATAATCTGCTGCTTTAGTACTTGATTACGTTTTGATAGGTTTCAGTGGAGTGCTTTAGATGCAAATGTAAAGTCTGTTTACCTGTATCCAAAACTTAATCACGGATCATTTTAATCATTGATAGATCCACAGTTTCATTATATCAATGAAAGTAGAAGACTAAAGCTCACTGCTGGAAGTAGGAGCAGATGAAGTTCATTTAAAGTTGGGAAGGTGTCATGACATTGTCTTTCTGCACATTCTCTTCTTGCAATTTACATTCCAGTCGAGCAAAAACAATGACCTCACTAATCTGGTTCAGCTTAATCCCGTAATCTGGACGTGACTGCAGTATGCACATCCTCTCACTGAGGTCCTCCTGTTTGTCAGCAGGCTCAGGGCAGTTTCTTGTAGCATGTGCAGCTAGCAAGTCATCTTTTTATGAACCAGAAGCCATTTCTTTAAATAAAATAAAAAAACCTTGCGCTCCAGACTGAAGGACTGCAGATAGTTAGATAAATCAGACATCCATTATCTTTACCCGCTTCTTCCTTTCCGGGTCACGGGGGTCACTGCGCGAGAGGCGGGGCACAACCCTGGAACAGGTCGCAAGTCCATAAAAAGAAAACTTTTATTCTAAAATACATAAGAATAATGAAAAAAAATAAACAGTTTAAATAACTAAAATTGTATTTAGTCAACATGTTTCAATGATGCGTTTTCTTGTTTTGCTTTAATAGGAACATATGCGTGTCCAGTACGTACTTTACAGATTAATGTTGGATTTTAGAAACGGAGCCATCTGAACATCGTGTTTATGACTCCGTCAGTCAGACATTTAATCGACACATCCTCGAGCCTGAAACGGCCATGAAGGACCCGAGGGCTGATAAACAGACCTTCAAAGCTTGTGGTTCTTATCTGGCAACGTCTTGTCAGAATTACAATTTTGTTGTTGTTTGGTACATAGGTTGATAATGAGGCACTTTGTATGAAATTGTGTATTTGGTGAAGTTAAAAATCTTCAGTGAAGGTAATGGTTGCATTAAGACGTCCACAGAAAAGTAAAAAGAAAAAAAAAAAAGCGTCTTAAAAAGTCAGAATCTGATCAATGCGTGCCAGTTTTTAGTTCTTACATCAAAGTCTTTGCAATCAAAGCATCAAATTTACAAACTTCAAAAGGTTCTCTGTGAACTTTTAATTTATGACATTATAGTGTAAAATATTTGTTGTTGTGTTGATATTTTACTTCATTAAAGAAGGAAGGGAGTGGTGGCGCAGAGGTTAGAGAAGGTGGGCCTGTGATCGCTGGTTCAACTCCCGGTACTGTCAACATCAAAATGTGAGTGGGATAGGTGAAGCACCCACACCTGCCTCCACCCTCATTCGTCCCACTCTGGGCCCTTGAGCAACGTTCTTAACCCCCACCATCTGCTCCCCCAGATGCCCTAGGTAGCAGCTCTGCTCCACACAGAGGGCTGTGGTAGCTCGGTGGTGTGTGGTTGTGTCAGGAAGAACATCCGGCCTAAAAATAACTGGCAACGAGTTAGTTCGCTGTGGCGACCCCTGAAGAAGAGAGCACAAAGGAAAAGAAAAAAAAACTTCATTAAAGAAGGAGCTCAAAGGTTGACAGCTGGTAAATTAATTTGAACACTCGTGAATATTTTTCTACATCGTTCTGCCAGTCACATCTGGATCTTTCTCTGGGAGTAGCAACAACAATACTGTCGTAGTGACGAAACATGACCCTATTAGACACTGTCTTCACAGATCAGCTGCATCTGGGTAAGAAATGTTCCTTTTGAAAATGGGTTGCCAATTCAAAGTCCAAGATGGCTACTGCCATATGTAAACCTGCCACCCATATCATTTGAGGAAACTATGCTTTATAGTTTTTAGATTACAGTAGTTCCTCGTTTATCGCGGGTGTTAGGGACCACGCCCCCATGTGATAAGTGAAAAACCACAAAGTAGGGATACAGTAGTTTAAGTTCAAGTAAACTTTATTGTCATTTGAGCGGCTGTGGCTGAGTGGTTAGAGCAGTCGTCCTCCAATGCAAGAGTTGGGGGTTTGAATCCACCAGCAGTCACATGCTGACGAGTCCCTGGGCAAGACACTGAACCCCTCATTGCCTCTGATGTGTGTCCCATCAGTGTATGAATGTGATAAATCTCTGATTAGTCTCTTTAGAATGATTTGTTCAATTATCTTTGTAGAGATCTAGTAGAGTGCTGTATTAATGAGTAAATGAGGACACAGATTGTAGTGTAAAGAGCTTTGAGTATCTCGATAAGATAGAAAGGTGCTGTATAAGTACAGTTCATTTACAGTCCATTCATTACCATCTCATGTGGTACATGAGATGGAACAAAATTATGTACACTAGTAGTAGTAGTAGTAGTAGTAGTAAGTAGTAGTTTATTTTAGTATTTACTGTAGTAGTAGTAGTAGTAAGTAGTAGTTTATTTTAGTATTTATATACAGGTATATATTAAGGCGTTTTAAACCCTTCCCACACTCTTGCAAACTTCTAAACTCTTAAACCTACATCATGTTAACAACGTACAGTACTGTATATGTAGCTACAACATTTTACTTACCGGACTCTGCAGAACAGGAGCGGTCCGACTCTGTTCTGTTTCTGCAAACGTACCCTGCAACAACCCACAATCAATGTTCTAAAATCTTAAACCTACTAATTTTAACAACATACTGTACTTATATGTAGCTACTAAATTTTACTGACCAGCGTGTCCGCCCTGCTCAGAGGTCCTCATCGCCTGGTTGAAAGATGTGAAATAAGTCCCGTTAAGCTTCATATGAACAACTGGATCATCAGCCACACACGTCCCATGGCTGGACGGTTGAAAAAAGGGGAAAAAAGTCCCTGTAAGCTCTGGATGGATCACTGGATCATCGGCTGCATGCGTCCTGCTCAGGGCTCATAGTGGGCCGGTTGAAAGAGATTTAAAAAGTCCTGCTGGACTCTGGACGGAGCGCCGGACCTTCGGCCACGCGCGTTTGCTCGGAGGTCCACGTGGGCGGGTTATCTTATTTCAAGATTCATCTATTGGTCTGGAAGTCTGGCTCTGCTCCGGGGGCATCGATCAGATCAAAACTTTACTGTACGTCTGTTTTTTAGCAGAAAGAAACGGGGCTTCTGGGCGGAGTCCTGTTGCCTTCTGGGAAATGTGGTCATTATGAGTGGGGATACAGTGGAGGCTTACAGAGAGAAAACTACAAAATGGCGGCACCTGTCCAAAATATTTTATTTTTTCATTAACTTTTACTGTACAGTAGTCCCTCGCTACTTTGCGGTTCGTTTTTCACATACTCGCTCCATTGTGGATTTTAAAGTAAGCTTGGACATGACACACAATGACTGATTGATGGATGAGCTGGACAATCGGCATGTTTTTTTTTATTTAAAATAAATTATTTTAAATAATTTAACACTTGTGTGCAGCCCACAGTGGTCCTCCTGCAGCTAATCAGCTGATCTCTGTGCAGAGCGGAGAAGTGGGCGTGGCCGAGAGTGCAGCCGGAGGCAGAGAGCTGAAATCATGACATGCTGTGCTCTTTTACAGCATTTGGAGTTTAGAAACATTGTTTAGAATGTTGCAAGTGTGGGAAAGGTATAAAATGCCTTAACATATAAATACTAAAATAAACTACTACTTACCACTTGTACTACTACTCCTACTTTGTGGTTTTTCACTTAACGAGAGACTTCGGGGTACACATCCCCGCGATAAACGAGGGACTAATGTGCAGTACTGTATCCAGTACTGTCCCAATCATGTGAATAATATTAATTAATTAATTATTATTATTATTTGTTCAATATTATATATTATGGGCTGTACGTTCACAAAATGCGATGGAGCAAGTCTGCGAAAGTCGAATTGTGAAGTATCGAGGGACTACTGTTCTTGAAAAATTTAGTTTTCTCAAATGATTGGGGTGACCGAAGATTAATTTTTGGTGGCCAAGGCCCCCATTGGCCACCCCCTGGCTCCGCCGTTGCACCTGGCAGTGGATGAAATTGCTCTCTGTGCTTGCCAGAATCCATCACACTGCACAGCCATGGACAAGAAAAAAAAAGAAAACCCTCCTTCTGTTCTTCTCCACAGTGAAACTCTTACCCACTTGAACATCTTGCACCAAAACATTCGCTATTCAGATCCGTCAGCGATGGCGGATATCGGCGTACCCCTTGTTTAGTCAGAGAGTCCTCCTGCAGACTGTCTTTGTTGCTAACAGCGACCGATGTTAATGATAGAAGGTTTCTTTAATGTTTTCACCCGGTGTTGTAAGATCACTTTTCATTCCATGATCAGTTTCTTGCCAATGAACGTTTTTCCACCAGATCTAAAATCACATTGACCAGATCTTAGCGACTCAGTTGTTGTGCTTTAAAACCACAACAGGAGTGAAAATGAAGCCTAGCCAGATGGCCTCTTACGTTGACATGATGAAACATTTAGGATTGGCTCTTGATGGTATCTGAAATGTCAGCAGGATTAAAGGTGATCATTTAACCCTTTTCTTTTGTACTCATGAGCACACTCACATTTCACCTCAGAAGCTGTCGGTGAGTTTTAGAAAAGAAGTAGGACAAATGTTAGAATACATAAAGTTTTTGTTTTTAACTCCTGACTGATGGAGGATACAACAGCAGCAGATTTCTTCTCAAAGAACCAGTTTCCTTTAGAAATGTATGATCCATGAGTGTGAATGAGACGTCTCTCCAGTTTCTGTCGCTTATTCTCCTGGTTGTGATTCTGTAATGTCTCCTAAAGCAAGTCAATGACCTGTCGTCTGTTACGAAACGTAATTTTTACGCACAGTTTCCCGTGGGCAACCTACTTCTGTCAGGGCGGTCTTTTATTCCGTTCAGTGTGCGGCGCAGATTTCGCCGGCTGAAATTGAAATTGCGACGACCCAGCCTCTCATTTTCTGCAGCTGCGATGAAAAGACTGTTAAAATTGTGTTCGATGGATGAATCGCCTCCATCGGTTTTCCCATTATTTTAAAATGAGGACAAGAGAAGGGAACAAAGGACTGAACACATTTTAGTTTTGAATGGGATGACACTTTCATTCATTGTGTAAAAGTCTGCTTACTAGTAGCGGGAGTGTGTTTAAAGTGTTCATAAAGGGCTTTGTGTGTCCCTGCCTGTGTATCCACTCGGACTGGACCATTTCCACTATAAAAGAGACATGTCCTCTTCTTGACGACCTACATTTGTGTTGTTTATCCATCTTTCCAGGTACTGGAGAAGTTTATGTCTCGTCTTGTTCAGAACCAGGTGATGGCCCACAAGGACTTGCGGACTCTCAGCAAATACCAGCTCATTCTGACCAGGGATCAGTTCCGCAGGAACCCGCCTCCGCACATCAAGGCACGGACCCATTCAAATCTTTTGTGTTTCTATGTTGTAAACATTTGTATATAATTTATATAAAATAATGGAAGCATCAAAACTCACAACATGCAGTGAAAGGCAAAAGTAGAGCGCCAAACTAGAGAAATTGCATTTCCTGTGAAAATGCAGTGTGGATTCTTCTTGCAGAAGAACTTGCTGAAAAACAGCTGAAATTGGCTAAAGCAAACAACATGCTGAAATGTAACTGAAATGGAAGAAAAAGCCTAAATTAGCAGAAGAAAGCAGAAAGAACACTTATTTGCTGAATTAGGTTTCAATATGCAGAAATGAGCACAAAAATTAGGAATTTTGCTAAAAAAGCTGAAAGTAACAAAAACAAAGTACCGGTAGCTGAAATGGCATAAAGAAGCTTAAACTATCATAAGGAAGTGGAAGGAGCTGATATGAGCTTAAAAATGTGGAATTAGCTGGAAAATATACATTTAGCATAAAAACAGCTAAACAGTAGCTGAAAGAACAAAGTAAAACTGAAACTTGCAGAAAAAAGCTGAAAGGAGTATAAGCTGAAATTAGTATAAAGAAGTTAATTTGGCTGAAAGTAACAGAAATTATCACAAAAAACTTGAATTTATCTGAAAACAGCTAAAATTGGCTAAACAGGTAGAACAAGCTTAATTTTGCAAAAGAAAACAGAAAGAACATGTTTGCTGAAAGAATCAGAAAAAAAAGTGTAAATTATCTGAAAAAAGCTGAAATTGGCAACAACAACAAAAAAAAAAAAAAAACCCAGCTGAAAAGTAGCTAAAAAGGCAGAAAGAAGCTGAAAATACAAAAAGGAAGTGGAGAAACCATATTTTGCTGAATTAGGCTGAAAAAAGTTTAAGTAAGTGCAAAAAATGTGGAATTAGCTGAAAAATGTTAAATTAGCATAAAACTGCTAAATAGCTGAAATAGTAGAAAAAGCTGAAACGTGCTGAAATACGTGTAAAGGAGCAGAACAAGCTGAAATGAGCGGAAAGAAGCACAAAAATGTTGTATTTAGCAGAAAGAATCTAAAAGGAGCACAAAACAGCTGAGATTATCTGAAAATAGCTGATTTTTTAAAAATTTACCTAAGGAAGCTGAAAGAAGCTGAACCAGAACAAAATGTGAAAGAACCAGTGGATCTAAAGATTTGAAGGATGAAAAAGGAGCTCATTTCATTTTACTATGAAAAATTAAATGAAAGAAAAGGCTAAATATTTCAAAAAGCTAAATTTGCACCAAAAGTCAAAGCAGGATTGTCTTGAAAGAGCTGAACAATTTGATTTATGATTTGTTGAAATAGGTTGGAAACTGCGGGACAAGAATTGCACCGATAATTGTATGGATGAAAAATGGATCACAATAGAGTGAATGTTTCATAAACATTCACTCTATTGTGATCCTATTTATAGTAGTTTAACATTTATTGGCTTGTAATTCTGTATATTCTTAAATAATAGATCACATCACAATGGGAACATTTAAGAAAAGTTAGGAATAGGATGTGCAAAATGTAAATATAAACAGAACGCACTGATTTTGAGTCTCATAAACCCATATTTTATAAACAGAGGAACACAGTAAACGTATCACATGTTGAAACTAGTAAATTCTAGTATTTTGCGGGGAAATGGGATCATTTTGAATTTGATGCTAGCAACATGTCAACAAAGACGGAGTGAAGCAACAAAAGGCCGTAAGAATGAGTGGTCTGAATAAACGAGGAGCATTCAGCAATAAATCAGGTTAATTGTCTTAAGACCGGTTATAACAAGAGCATTGTTTGAAAAACTGAATCTCTGAGAAGTAGAAATGAGCAGAGGATAGTTTCTACAACTAGAGGATGATTCCAAGTTAAGTCCAAAATGTATCACGTCAAGATTTAAAACTCACGCATGATTTACAACGTCATTCAAAAATCTGTAAAAACTTTACAAAACCACTGTGGAGTTTAAAAAAATCGGCCTAAACTAGAATGTTTTCTGCAAACAAATGGACAAAACGAGTTCCAGAGAAACTTGACGCACTCGTATGCAGCAGCACAATTTGAGCACTGAGTTCCCCAAACAGAGGGAGAAGTCGGAGAGAAAAAAGCCAACGACCGTGCACATAAAAGTAAATATTAAATATCCTATTTATTTTCACAGAAAATGTAACGCTAGCAAGGAAATGAACGTCTGCCCCACTAACAGTCATGCTCGCTGCTGTATAGTAAGACTTTGATTGTGATGAAGTATTTCAAACCCGTTCTGACGGAGGGTTTTAATTAGTCTCATAGACTCGCATGTCATCGTGCTCTTCAGGGTCCTAAGCAGGGAGTGCTGGAGGGCGACTTTGCCCTCTGCATCAGCCTGTACCACGGCTACGAGCTGCTGATGCAGACAGGCCTCAGATCGCTTTTCTTTTACGTCCAGGGAATCATGGACGGATCCAGAGGTCAGTCTCTTTCCATCTAGCTCTTTAGGGTGTTGTTGTTGCTCTTTACCCACACTGACGTTTCACTGAAAGAGCATTTCTTTCTCACATATTTTAGCTTCTCTTCGGCTATCTGTAAATGTGATGTCAGACATGAGAATGGTCTCTGCTTTTTGTTTGGCTTAGAGATGTCCAGAGCCAAGAATGAGCTCCAGAGGACGCCCATATTTCTGGACATGTACCATGAGATGGAAGCAATGTTTGTGAAGCCAGCTGCTGGTACGACTTCATTTAATGGACATAACTCAAACATCTGAGTCCAAATGTTGTCCCCCTGTCTCCTCTCCTGTTTGATACGTGCTGTCGACGTTTAACCGAACTCTGCTATTTGCAGGTCCAGATGAGCCGTTCGTTTATAGTCACCCCAAACTAGAGAAACTGGAGGAGGTGGTGCTGCAGCACTTTAAAGTGTGGGCCGAGCGCTCGGCAAGCACAAACGGTGATGTCCTTTATATAGCAGCGCTAAGCTGTGAGTCATGCATGGAATGATTGTTCTAACTTAAAGGTGAACCGCATTATAGAAGGCATCAACATTCCATATGAGTTCTCTAATGCCGACATCATCGGGGTGATTTGGAGTTTTATTAGATGTAATATTTGCGTTCAAGCGTCTATAAACCGTTTTTAAACAAGTTATTTTTAAAGCACTAGTATGAACGGTTCGAAAGACCCAGTTTCTTTCTTAGTTTTGCCTTCTCAATGTCTCGGTTCAGGCTCGGAGGGAGTAAGCACGCGTGTGATGATCTTTTCGTCTTTTCGCGAGAGCGTCCAGGAGATCGCAGCCATGTTAAACCGCCACGCTCCGCTGATCAGAGTCATGACGTTCATGGGCCAGGCTTCGTCTGGAAAGGGGGTCAAAGGCTTCACCCAAAAGGAACAACTGGAGGTAAAACTTTTGTTTTAAATCAAAGTTACACCGGATTAGTCAAACATACATAAACAAATTTAACAGGTACTGACATGTTTTCAACATACTACAACATAAAAGGCTGCCAAGTGTCCCAAAATCTTTTTACAGAACCCTTCAGGGTATGTCTTAGTTTTTCCAAATGGATATGATACATCACCTCTCTTATCCATATGCTGGGGTGTGTGGGTCATTCCAAATTGCGCAACATTAGCCTCCTGGACAGAAGAGAGCCAAAAGCAATCACGTCCTTTTCGCATTTGCTAAAGGACATATCCACAGGGACCACCCCAAACAGTGAGATGGATGATGATGGGTGTACAGTTTTGCCACATATCCTAGAGAAGGTGTCAAAAATAGATTAACAAAAACTCTGCAGTTTGGGACCGGTCCAGAACGTATGCAAGAGTGTAGCTGGAGTTTGTTTCAAACGATTGCATGCGGGGTCCAGGTCGGCTTTGATCTTGGACAACTTGTTAAAACATATTTTTTTCATAAAAAGTGGTATCGTATTTTCCGCTCTATAAGTCACAGTTTTTTGCACAATTTACATGTCCTGCGATTTATAGGCCGAAACAACAAATTTGTGGATTTTTTCTCCATATTTATAAACCAATTTTTGTCTGAGATATGACAGTTTTCATTCGTTCTGACTGAAAAAAAAAGAGCAGTACCACTTTCAGCCACTTGATGGCAGCAGAGTAGTAGTAGCAGGATGGCATGCCATTGTATCATGCGTTTATCGTGTTAAATTTGCACAGCGGCTCGTCGCATGTACGCATTTACTTCCGCGTATCGGCTTTTGAAATGCAGCTGATTTGATCGTCAAAGTGCATTTATTAAGCAAACGTTAGACTGAGACACACCTTTACTATAATGTTGAGCAAACAAGAAATTGTTTTTAAGTGTTAATCTTGTTAACTTCTTGTTAAAGTCCTCCTGTGCACGCTTCTGCGGCCGCCATTTGGCAGCCCATCAATTTTTGGCACAACACCGGCGCACATTTCCGGGTTGTCCGCGGTGACGCGTAACAAACGCGACACATCAGCGTTGATGCATAATAGATGTGACTTATATGGCGAAGCAATGTATTTATGTATTTTTCCACTTTATTAGACGTATTTGGACTAATACAACTTATAAGGCGGAGTGGCGTGTACGGCGGAAAATACAGTATATATTTTGAAAGACATATGCAGCCAAAATTAGTGCCGCCTTCACAAAAATTGCAGTTGATCCTCTAGTTTTGGTAAAAGTCACAAACCTAAATTTTTCCCTGTTAATACTAACCTGTGTTAGAAATGTTGAAAACGTCTGCTGTGATTTCAGTTTAGACTCATAGCCAGTTGTATTTACATCTAAGAGATGCACAGAGACTTCTGTAACAAATGCATACCTTTGTTATGATTAAAATCCCAAATGATCGTAAAAGGCATAAACAGTTTAATATTTTTCCCTCCTTCTCGTGCGTGTTTTAGGTGGTGCACAGGTTTCGACAGGGCGGTTTCAACACGCTGGTGTCAACCTGTGTGGGGGAAGAGGGGCTGGATATTGGAGAGGTAGACCTCATCGTCTGTTTTGATGTTCAGAAGAATCCCATCCGCCTCGTGCAGAGGATGGGACGGACTGGTCGCAAGCGGCAGGGCCGCATTGTGGTCATCCTCGCTGAGGGACGGGAGGAGAGGGTGTGTATTTTTCAATGACCTGCGTATACAAAAAAAAAATGGAATAAACACACTGACGCTTTGTTTCCACAGACCTATAATCAGAGCCAGAGCAACAAGCGCAGTGTATACAAGTCCATTACTGGCAACAAAAGTGGGTTTCACATGTTCCCCAATAGTCCCCGCATGCTGCCTGAGGGGGTGAACCCCAAACTTCACAAGATGTTCATCACCTGTGGCCAGTTTGACCCCAAAGAGAACAGTAGGAGGTCTGTCAGGGGTCGGAGATCCCACACAGAGGGAAGGACATCACTCATCCATCCTCAAAACCTGTGTGAGTGAAAGACTGAAGTTGGTTTTAGTTGGATTTAGGCTAAGTTTTAAATGATTAGTTTTTTTTTATTTTTCAGTTCAACAAGGCAACCCAACATCTGATGGCTTTCTGAGCAGCGCAGAATATTCTCTGTGGGCATCCACCATGAAGCTGGATGAACAGGAAACTCATCCAACCCTGAGGCCATCCCGCTTCCTGTCTATACCCAGTGACCCTGAGCATCAGGTTTTCTATTTTTCTGTATTTAAAGTGTTTTTTTTTTTATGCTTGTCTAAAAACATAAAGCAGGAAATAAAGTTTTGTTTACAGGAGGACAAAAAAATGACAAAAAGTAACACCTTACACAAAGGACCCTGCGTACTTCATCCGAAGCAGCAAAGTCAGCTCTCAGTGACACACTGGTAGTTGTGTGATGAAAATTTTGTAATTTTGTTCTTAGAGTAGCTTTGCCCGCTCCTTTAGGGCACAAGGCCCAGCCTGAACTTTTCTCAAAGGAGTATGTGCCAGTTATTGTGTGATTGGTCAGAAATTTGTAGGAGTGTTTGTCAATGTGGAAATGCGCTGCAACATTCAGCTGTATGACTGTTCAAACAATAAATTAGTCAAATGGCCAAAAACTGGATGGAGATTGCGCAGACATTGTGTAAGGAGTCAGTCTGCTGAAAAGTGAGGCACTTTCTTCAGGTTTGTGACTAAATAGCGAATGCAGGGGTGAAGTGGAGACTTTAGCGGGAAGAAACCCGTTTTATGATGTATACTACAGCAGCAGGGGTTTCTCAAGAGCTCTGTGCCGTATGTCTTGTGGACTATGCAATGTGTGGGCGAAAATGAACGTCCCGCAACCATGTGACCGCGAGTCGACTTTGAATGGAATATACAGTTTGAGTCTTTTAGGTGGAACAAAAATAATTTATGTTCCTGGCTTAAATCTTTGTTTTTGTTTGTTTTTTCATTGGTGAACCCTGACTATTAGATCTAGGCCTTCAGTTTGGATAAAATATGCAGTCATGCAATCTGCACTTCTGATTACATTAAAATGGACTAATACTCACCTTTTTAAAGCAACATATGTAGACAGTAAATTGTCTTCATGGTGCGTTAAGGTACAACATGTAAATTCTCTGACTGTTAGGTCCCTGTCACGTTTGGGTTTGGATTCAGAATAAGCCAGACACAGGAGTACAAAACGAACAGTTTTTATTAATTTGGTTGCTACTGGAGGGATCAGGATCAGCTGCATTAACAGGTTCTCACAGGCTGGAAGGAGAGAGTCACCTGACAGAATGGCAACGATGGCGTCACTGGTCCTGGTGCAGAGCAGCTGCAGAAAAAAGCGTGGTCAGAGAGGCAGACAAATCCAAGAGGGGCAGGCAATGCGAATAATCCGTAGTGCAGGCGTAGGGTCAGAACTAGGCAAGGTAATCCAGGCTGTGGCATGAAACAGGAAACTATGAAAGCTTGATATTAGGGACCATGGGCGGTATAATAATTCGGCAGGAACAGAGAGTGAGCATGGAGCTTAAATAAAAAGCTAAACAGGTGCATGAAATGAAAGCTAATGGCTGTGCTTAGGCTGAGGGGGCGTGGTGAACAATTGACTGACAGGGGCTGATGTGAGCAATGATGGGTGACAGGCAAAACAAAGCAGAGGAACAGAAATCTTGGCAAGAGGGGCAGAAACTATGCCAGGAGGGACAGAGTGAGACAGGGGACGTGGACATGTCATGAAGGGGCAGAGATGTGTAGAAACATGGTAGGAGGAGCAGAGGCATGAGTAGATGAGGGGTCAGCAGGGGGCTGCTGACCATTACAGATCCCTGTATGACCGGTGTCAGAGCTTGGTCCGCATTGCCGGCAGTAAGTCGGGCTCATTCCCAGTGAGAGTTGAACTCCGCCAAGGTTGCCCTTTGTCAACGATTCTGTTCATAAGTTTTATGGACAGAATTTCTATGCGCAGAAGGTGTTGAGGGGATCCATTTTGGTGACCTTAGGATCGCTTCTCTGTTTTTTGCAGATTATGTGGTTCTATTGACTTTATCAGGTCGTGATCTACAGCTTTCGCTGGAGCGGTTCGCAGCTAAGTGTGACACGGCCAGGATGAGGATCAGTTTCTCCAAATCCAAGGCCATGGTCTTGAGCCGGAAAAGGGTAGAGTGCCCTCTCCGGGTCGGGAAGGAGGTCCTGCCTCGAGTGGAGGAATTTAAGTATCTCGGGGTCTTGTTCACAAATGAGGGAAAAATGGAGCGTGAGATCGATAGGTGGATAGGTGCAGTGTCGGCAGTGAAGCGGGCGCTGTACAGGTCTGTCGTGTTGAAGAGAGAGCTGAGTCAAAAGGTGAAGCTCACAATTTACCGGTCGATCTATGTTCCTATCATGACATCCATCCATCCATCCTTTGGGTGGTCATGAGCTTTGGGTTGTGACCGAAAGGACGAGATCTTGGATACAAGCGGCCAAAATTGGTTTTCTCTGCAGGGTGTCTGGGCTTGGGCATCTGGCTAAAGAAGGCTGGACTGAAGAACAGCACAGAGGCTGTAATCATGGCAGCACAAGTGCAGGCCCTCTGCACAAGAGCAATAGAGGCCAGGGTCTACCATACCAGATAAGACCCAATATGTAGGCTGTGCAAAGATGCCCCTGAGACAGTCCAACGCATAATAGCAGGATGTATGATCCAGGCAAGCAAAGCATACATAGAACACTATAGCCAAGTGGATGAAATAATATACTGGAATATCTGTGCCAAGTATAGACTGGAGGTTCCACAGTCAAAGTGGGAGCCTCCACCAGGGGTGATGAAGAATGGAAGGGCCAAAATACTGTGGGACTTCCAGATCCAGACTGACTAGCAGGTGGCTAACCAACTCGACATTGTGGTGGTCGACAAGCAAGAGAAGAAGGCAGTGGTGATGCATGTAGCAATCCCAAGTGACTATCATCAGAAAGAAGCACAATAAGTTTGAGAAATACTGAGCACTGAAAGAGGAAATACAGAAGCTGTGGAGATTCAAAACATCAGTAGTCCCAGTGGTCACTGGAACACTTGGTGCTGTGATCCACAAACTGGAGGAGTGGCTTCAACAGATGCCAGTACCAACCTCAGAGATCTCTGTCCAGAAGAGCAGTCCTCTGAATAGATAAGATACTGAACAGAACCCTCAAACTCTTATAGACCTCTGGTAGAGAACCCAAGTTACAAGTGAAGTGGAACCGCCCAAGTGGAAGAGTAGGGTGAGCTACAAGTTCTATCTCAACGTCATTTCAAGCCCCATGCTTTGGTTCCACCCACTCTACATTAGCATTGTAAGCTTATCCTTAAGCTTCCAGTATACTCGGGCGTACGTCAGTCCACGGAGGTCCGCACATACCGGATTAGAGTCAAAGCAGATGCTTGCAGGGCATGTCCGTGCAAAGCTCAATTTTTAAGACCGCGTACGTGTACACAGTGTGGCACAATAAACTGCCTGGCGACGGACTGTTTTGTATGCAACACCAATACATTAAATTCCTCTTCTTCATCCCTGATCTGGTTTAATGGCCTTTTCTTTTGTTTTGTTTTTCCAAGAGGCAAGCGATCTCTTCTTCCTCCTCCATTGACGCCTTGACTGAAATTGTGATAAATGAAGGAATTTATCACGAGCAAATTAAAATCAGGTCCAGCGTGGCTGCGGGAAGGTCTGGCGATTTCCTGGTGGGCTGGTCTGATGTTTGGGCTGCAGGGCCAGCGCTTCCTGTTTTTTATTTTTTAGAACTTTCTATTAACAACATATAAACACAGAACACCGCTGCGGCTGGGGCTGCCAGCTCTCGTTTTTTTTTTTGGCGACCTGTCAATTTATCCAGTAGACGTGTCAGCAAATGACCAGTTGGTGACCTCAGTTTGTCCTGAAGGTAAACTCCCCTTGCCTGCGGAGCTGGTCTGCAGCCGCTTAGGGTGGACGCTCGAGTATGAAGTCTCAACCCTCTGCCGACAGTGCGCGCCGAGTCTGCGCGGAAAAAGGTCCGCGCGAGTATACTGGGGGTCTTTAGCCTTTGACTAAGCTCTGCCTTCTCTCCTGACAGTGAAGTCTTAACCAATGAAAACACTCCTTCAAAAATGTTTCTGCCTGAAGGCTCACATTTAAAAGAATCTGATTGGATAACTGGATTTTCATAAACTAAAACGTTTCGTGCTGCACTGCAAAATAGTTTACTGGAAATAAGAGAAGTTGGCATAAATAAGAAAAAACTACCTTACATTGAAATATATATTTAATAAAAATAAAAAAATAAATGTAACATCTCATTTGTGCTGACTTTATGGGCCTTCTCTGAAGACATAGAAGGCCCCAAGGAATCCCCACTGCTATTTCTGCTTTTTTCTTTATGACAGGAAGATGTTTCCAAAGTCAGACCATCGTCCAGAGAACTGTCTTTGTGGGAATGGAGACACTGGCAGCACAAAGCCCTTCCTTTCAATGTTGTGGATCATTCCCGTCGCTGCAACCACTTCATCGAGGTGATGGAGCTCATAGATGGCATGAGAGAAGAAACTGAGGTGAGCAAAAGGCGAAACAAGTAGGACTATTTTTTTCTGCATGAAGTCTCAAACACTTGGAGAGCTGAATAATATATCAGATTATGACTTGTAACCACTAAATCAGCGTTTACTGTGAAAATGGTTTCTTAAAATGCTTCTAAACATCCTGCTTACTTTCACATCAGAAGAAAGGATGTTCGTGTGGATTTATGCAAAGGAAAATCAAACCTTATAATGGAAAGAGGAGTCAGCTGCTTCGCCTGGGGACATACAACTGTGGCTTGTTTTGAGTTGCTAAATTTGTCCTTTTGACGTGGAAGGCAAATTCCTTGCATAATAAACAGCCTCCACAGAGGCAGTAGTTTTAGTAAGAAAAGTCATTGAACATTTTGAATGTTTGCAGATGCAGAAACGGCTCGGTTCATGGTTAGCTGCTAGCTGACAGCGTCTGCATCGCCCCGATAGTTTAACAGATTTTCTCCTCACTTAGTCATGTTGAATCCAGAGTCTCTCTCAATCAGACAAAACCAAACAAATGTTTTGATGTGAATGTGAATTTGTAATCAGTGGGTCCGTACCTTCCTTTACTCATCACCAAATGTCTGCCTTCTTGTAAGAATGTCACAGTCCTCCTGGTCTCACCATCTGCTCCTTCTCTATACTGCTTTCTAATAAGACCTCTAATTATGACCAGAACCCTAAATCTAGTTCAGAGATTATAGTAAAGTGGGCTCATATTGCCTTATTTTGTCCCCTGCTGTGGGTCTTCATTTTTAGTTAGAGAATTACATATTAGTCATAGTTTAATTGTTAAGTTTTAAAAGTAATTAGAAGAGAGAGCTGAGTCAAAAGGTGAAGCTCTCAATTTACTGATCGATCTACATTCCTACCCTCATCTATGGTCATGAGCTTTGAGTTGTGACCGAAAGAACGAGATCACGGATACAGGCGGCCGAAATGAGTTTTCTCCGCAGGGTGTCTGGGCTCTCCCTTAGAGATGGGGTGAGAAGCTCTGTCATCCAGGAGGGACTCAGAGTAGAGCCGCTGCTTCTCCACGTTGAGAGGAGCCAGTTGAGGTGGCTCGGGCATCTGGTTAGGATGCCTCCTGGACGCCTCCCTGGTGAGGTGTTCCGGACACGTCCCACCAGGAGGAGACCCAGAGGAAGACCCAGGACATGTTGGAGGGACTATGTTTCTCGGCTGGCCTGGGAATGCCTTGGGGTTCCCCCAGAGGAGCTGGTCTAAGTGGCTGGGGAGAGAGAAGTCTGGGCCTCCCTACTTAAGCTGCTACCACCCTGACCTGATCCCGGATAAGCGGAAGAAAATGGATGGAAGTACCATATTTTCTGCCGTACACGTTGCACCGCCCTATAAGTCGCATCAGTCCAAATATGTGTTAATAAAGTGAAAAAATCCATAAATACGTCGCATCTATTATGCATCACCGCTGACACACCGCGTTTGTTACGTGTCACCACTGACAACCAGGAAATGTGGGTCGGTGTTGTGCCAAAAATCAATTGGCTGCCAAATGGTGGCCGCGGGAGCATGCACAGGAGGATTTTAACAAGAATTTATCAAGATTAACACTTAAAAACAATTATTTGTTTGCTTGAAATTATAGTAAAGGTGTGTCTCAGTTGACCTTTTACTTAATAAATGCACTTCATTGGTCAAATTAGCTGTGTTCCTCCGGGGTGGTGCATAAAAATGAAGCTGCTTTGACGGTTGCTTCAGGCGAGCTGGATGAAGGTGGCAGGCTGTGGCAAGCTGATTGTGTCATTAATAGCCACTTTTACCTATTACATGACACAACGGTATGGCATACTACTCGAGTGCCATCTAGTGGCTAAATATGGTAGTGTTCAATATTTTCAGTCAGAATAAATGAAAACAGTCGTATCTCAGACAAAAATTGGTTTATAAATATGGGGGGAAATCCATAAATACGTCACTTCAGTGTATAAGTCGCAGGGCTTGTAAATTATGCAAAAACTGTGACTTAGAGGCTAAAAAATACAGTAATTATAAAATGAATGTTGTAAGGATTAAATTGTATCATAATACAATAAGACCGCTTTAAACTTTTTCTCAGTCCAACATGAATGTTTTGGGTCCAGGAAAGCAAATCTTTTTTTTTTTCAGTTTTAAATGAACAAACATTAGTTTAAACATTTAAGCAAGCTTTTTACTCATGCATTCACTCAGGTAATCTTCAGTCTTCACCTTTAAAAGACTCTTGTCTTATCTCTGTCCATATGACTGACCTCTTGTGATTTAACTCTAATCTAAGAGATCCAGGTCCTTCAGATCCAGCTAGTTTTTCAGATTACTCAACCATGCTGGCCTTGTTTGATCCTGTTTCCCAACGTTTATGAAACGTCCTGCAAACCAAACTCCATGTATGCGTCAGATTTACTAAGTCATGTCGTGGTGTTGAAATGATCTAATTCTGCTGCTTTTGTTTGCAGTCTCCAGACTTGTTGGAAAATACATTTATTTTTTAGAAGAATAGCAAATGAAAATGAAACAAGATCAAATCTGATGAATTGAATTCCTGGAAGGATTTGATTTTTAACCAAAGACTGTTTTTTTCAGAATGTACAGTTTTTGAACACAATAGGAGAGTACCGGTAAATCCTATTTTTGAAGAATGGATTGTCGTGGGTTGTCTTCAGCCTTTCCATCAAACGTCAAGTTTCTAGATTAAAGCTAATGGTTTATGGGATTTTTGCTGTTTTACCAGGTTTTTGTTGTGTTTGTTAGTTTCACAATGGAGCTTCACAACCATCAACCTTTATTTTACAGCTAATGCACCGAACTTATACCATGAGACGTTTGTTCATTGTTCAAGCATCAACACCAAAGCTGGCTCCCTCATAGTGTTTTATATTCTCTTTACCTCTCTGTCTGAATGAGGACAGAGGCCTTCTGACCCTCTGCTTCCTGTCATTCGAGAATATCTTAGCCCGTTTTCCACATTCCTCTTTTTTTTAATCACACTGTCTCTTTATAACAAAACATGGGGGCTTGCACGCAGGCCCCCTTCACACGTGATTATGTAACAGTTCTGTGAACCGTTACATAACACTAGGAAGCTGGAAATAGGTCAGCCCATGATGACCTACATGTGCAGGGGAGGAAAACAGATTCAAAAGAGATAACAGAAAAAACATAGGTGATGTGACTGAAACTGTAACGGAGAGTTGCAGAAGAGTGGGTTTTAATGTGCCGAGTGCTCAATCGCACACAGATGGTAGTTCATAAGGAAGGGCTGATTTCACCTGAGTGGTTTAAAGTAACTCGCCTAATTTGACTTGGCTGGATTATTAGATTATTATGCAATATTTCTTGCCCCTGCCAAAAGCTGAAAGGTGGGTAATAACAACAAAACCAACAATGTCTATAACTGGGACAATTTCACCTATGTGACCCATCATCGTTTTCCTAACGGAGCACTTTGCTCTCAGACTGCAGGTTTACTTGTGGTTCCTAGAGCTTCCAATAGCTGAATGGGAGGAAGATCTTTCAGTTATCAGGCTCCTCTCTTGTGGAACCAACTTCCAGTTTCTGTCTATGAGGCTGACACATTGTCCAGTTTTAAGACTGTGCTTAAGTCTTTCCTTTTAGATAAATCCTATAGTTAGGGTCAGCTTGGGTTTCCTGAGCTATCCCTTAGTTATGCTGTTATAGAGACTTAGACTGCTGGAGGACACACTGGCCACATTTCTTCATTCTGTCTTTCCTTGCTCCACTCTATTTGTTTGTATTTGTATCTATTTCTATCCTTAACATGAGTTTTTGTCTTTCTTCCTATAGAAAGTTCACCTGGACCAGTCATTCTGGGTTTGTTTTTCTCTCCTTCCTGTTCCTCTCAAACCCCAGCCAGTCGAAGCAGATGGCCGCTTGTCCTGAGCCTGGTTCTGCTGGAGGTTTCTTCCTGTTAAAAGAGAGTTTTTCTTTTCCACTGTTGCCGCTGTGCTTGCTCAGGATGGGAGACTGTGACGAAGTGAAGATTCAACACAATCTGCTGCTTCCTTAAATAGATCTTCTTCTTTCAGCTGTTTCCTCTTCAGGTGTCTCCCCAGTGAGTCATCCTCCTCCATCTCGCTCTGTCCTCACTCCAACTACCTCCACGTCCTCTCTAACTGCATCCATATATCTCCTTTTTTGTCTTTTTCCTGGCAGCTGCATTTCTAACATCCTTCTACCAATGTCCCTCCTCTGGACATGTCCAAACCACTGTCCCTCCTCTGGACATGTCCAAACCATCTCAGTGTGTCCTCTCTAACTTTATCTCCCAGTTGTTCAACCTGTCCTGTACCTCTGATGATCTCCTTACTAATCTTATTCATCCTTGTCACTAAGGAGAATCTCAGCATCTTAATTTCTGCCACTTCCAGTTCTTTCTCCTGTCTTTTAGTCCATGTCTCTGTCTCCAAACCATACAACATAGCTGGTCTCACCACTGTCTTGTGAAATTTTCCTTTAACCGTTGCTGACATCCTTTTGTCACAAATCACTCCTGAAACTTTTCTCCATCCACTCCATCCTGCCTGGACTCTCTTCTTCACCTCTTTACAACGCTCTCCATTTTCCTGGACAGTGGACTCTCAAGTCCTTGAAGTCCTGCACCTTTGTGACCTCTGCTCCTTGTAGCCTCACTGTTCCACCTCCTCGCTCTCATTCACACACATGGACTCTGTCTTACTACGACTGACTTTCATTCCTCTTCTTTCAAGTGCATACCTCCACCTCTCCAAGTTCTCTTCCACCTGTTCCCTGTTCTCACCACAGGTCACAGGTGTCAGGAAGGATTGTCCTTCCTGACACAACCCTCACCATTTCCCCAGGCTTAGGACCGGCATAAGAGATACACTGGCTTACGCTCCCTAGTGGCTGGTTTGGCTTCAATAGATAGATAACTTTTACTAATAATTGGTTTTTAGAAAATATGTGAATATTTTTGTTCAGTGCCCTGAAACGACTTCTGTTGTGACTTGTGGCTCTATACATAAACTGAACTGAAATTGATTGAATCACATCGAGCTAAGGATTAAGTCAGATTCGGTCAGAATGAACAAAGCACATTTTCAGGGTTTTGGCTTTTTGAAGCTTTTTGATACCCAGATCATCTTGATATCATGAGGAGTTCCAAAGATATGGCTTAATTTGTCTTGCTAATGGGGATAACCCCTGGAAAATGTGTCGGAATCTTATTTTTTCCATGTGTTGTTGGTGATTTCCTGACATCCTTTGCAGTAGAAAGATAAATAGTGGAGAAAGTAGCAAAAATTTAAACATGTTCTGTTTAAGATCATGCTCTTTGTTGGTACTGCTCAGAAAAATGCTTCAAAACATTATTAGCGATTATATTTAGGATATTTCATTCAAGACAATCATGTATATACATTATTACAGTAATCATTTTTTGACAAATTGCAATCGTCACCATCTTTTCTACCAGTGCACTAGCTGTTTATCTCTACATACCACTTTGTGACTTGATCCTTGGTTCAGTGTGATGGGTCACATGTATTGAGTTAAATTGTGATGTAGTAGCTGAGAATCATTCACAACACATTCACTGAGCTTGAGATCTTACAATAAATATTATGTGAGATCGTACATTTGATGAAAATGCTCAAATCTTCATTTGCCAACATAAGATGATCTTAGTTTGAAACTCTAGTTTGACAGAGCAAAGGCCTTTCATTTCTATTAAAGCTTTTCTGGGGGGGGGGGGGGGCTCTGAGTATTAATGTAGTAGAAGTTTGTACCAAACAGCTTCTCATTCATTCAGTTTGAGTTGTTGCTCTGTTTCCATGTTTGGAAACAGTTATGCAGACTGATGAGGCCTGCTTTGTGCCTGCTCATGGGCATCAAATTCATGTGATTGTTGTGGTGCAATGAGATAATCAGCAGAGAGGGGTTTCCACTTTGTGCAGACGGCCTAAATCGATGATAACCATGTGAACCTCCCGGTTTTTACAGCACTCTGTTCTCACCAGAGTTATTTTGGTCTGCGACATCTCTTGGTCCAGAACCTTTTATCTGATCATTAATTAATTGTGCAAGGGTTCAGATAAATCTGTTGTGAAATCCTCATAAAACTTCAAGGAGGAATTTAAAAATAAAGGCCTTAGAAAATGTCACATTCTTCATGGGATGGAGTTAAAATGTCTTGCTACATTCTTAATTATTCCTTTGTTTCCAGTAAATATGAGTTTAAAGATGTACGGTAGTTTTTTTTCTTTCCGCTGCTCCCTTCTTCAGGGGTCGCCACAGCGAACTAACGCTCATAAAGACTTGGCAATTATTTTTACACTGGATGCCCTTCTTGACACAACCACAGAGCACCGAGCTACCACAGCCCTCTGTGTGGAGCAGAGAGCTGCTATCTAGGACACCCGGGGAGCAGATGGTGGGGGTTAAGGGCCTTGCTCAAGGGCCCAGAGTGGAACGAATGAAGGTGGAGGCAGGTGTGGGTGTTTCACCTTTCCCACTCACATTTTGATGTTGACAGGCTGGGGAGTTGAACCAGCAACCATCCGATCAGAAGCCCACCCTAACCTCTGCACCACCACTCCCAGTTTAAAGATGTAGTATAGCATTGTTTACCTTTGTAATTTCAGCATGTGTTAACTAAAAAAAAAAATCAAAGTATTTTATCATTTAAACATGGAATATATTCATTAAAGATGAATGAATAGACCGGTGGATGGACAAAAGGATGGATGATGGATGGATGGATGGATGAATTAATTGGAGGATGGATGGATGGATGGATGGATGAATTAATTGATGAGTGGATGGATTAATTAATTGATAGATATATGGATGGATGGGGCAGCACGGTGGCACAACTGGTAGAGCTGCTGCCTCTCAGCGAGCAGGTCCCTGGTTCAAACCCCGGTCCAGGGGCCTTTCTGGGTGGAGTTTGCATGTTCTCTCCATGCATGCGTGGGTTTTCTCCTGGTACTCCGGTTTCCTCCCACAGACCAAAAACATGCATGTTAGGCTGATTGGTAACTCTAAATTGTCCCTAGGTGTGAGTGAGAGAGTGAATGGTTGTTTGTCTCGTTTGTCTCTATGTGGCCCTGTGATGGACTTGCGACCCGTCCAGGGTGTACCCCGCCCCTCGCACAGTGATTGCTGGACATGGGCACCGGCGACCCCGTGACCCAAAATGGAATAAACGAGTAAAGATAATGGATGGATGGATGGATGGATGGATGGATGGATGGATGGATGGATGGATGGATGGATGAATTAGTTGATGGATGGATGGATGAATTGATGGATGGATGGATGGATGGATGGATGGATGGATGGATGGATGGATGGATGATGGACAGATGAATTAACTGAAAGATGGATGGATTAATTAGTTGATGGATGGAAGGATGGATGGATGGATGAATTAATGGATGGATGACAGATGGATTAATGGATGGATGGACAGATTAATTAATTGATAAATGGATGGATTGATAGATGGATGAATATGTGGATTGGTTAATTAATTGATGGATGGATGGATGGATGGATGGATGGATGGATGGATGGATGGATGGATGGATAAATTAATGTATGGCTGGCTGGATGGATGGATGGATGGATGGATATCAAGAAAGTCATTTAGGGTTTTCCAGGAATTAAACTTTTAAGAATCTTCAGTTGTAAAAGTCAGTGAGAACAGTTTGTTGTATTCACCAAGTATTTTTATTCTTTGTTTCCATCAACAGTAGTTGTCCTTCAGTGAAGCTTGCCAAAGACAAAAGTTAACAGGAGACTGTGACGGCAGCAAGCAGCTCCGTGTTTGCCTGAGAGCAGTTTATCTGGTCGACAACCTAAAAAAGGCTGTAACTTGTGCAGAAATGAAAATAACAAGGAACGCTCTCAGACTGTGCCAAGACTCAGGCTTACGCTCGAGTCACGCTGGTTTTTAAAGCAGCTCAGATCTAAACTAAATGTTTTTTTCTTTATACCAAGCTCGTCTCCTGGTACACATTTGACTCTGATTATTCTCATCTTGGATCTTGAATCAACATTTTATTTTGTTAGTCAAAGGATTGACCTTTGAAATATTACAACCGTTTATCAGAAACCATTTCGTGTGTGAAATGGTCAAAACTTTTGGTGTCAGATCTAGACTGGGAAACTGTGAGCACAATACTCTAAAATATTTTGCCCAATAGATTAGAAACGGCTCAGATTTAATCCGTTTAATGCCTTGTGAGTGATTAGAACTTTTGAGCTTATTGTGGAGTAATCAGACTAATGAGTTCTAGTTCAGTTAAAGAACTAAACAGGCATGTTTACGTGAGCAACTTTCATCAGGTCAGTGGCACCCATAGGACATTTTAGACACATTGAAAATGTAAAGCATGAATAGCTCCCTTTGGGTTCTGCTTTTTTTTCAAAAGCTTTTCTTAGTTTGTTGCTCCTGGTCACCGGTTCAGTGGAACCCTGCTGCTGCTGGCAGGAAGCCACTTTAGGTGAATCACTTCCAGGTCAAAAGTTTGCCCAGATGACGACAGCAGTGTGTTTCTAAAATCTAACAAGGACGAGATGGTGTAAGGGCTGTTCCTCATTAGTTTACAGACCGTGGAGCTGTTTTAACTGGTGCTCCAACTTTCTGCTTCTCTCTTCAGGGAGAATGTCGTTACGAACAGGAGCTTCTTCCTTACCTTCGTAAAGAAGAGGCTGAGAAGAACAGACAAAAGAAACTGAAAGCCACAAAGCTCTGCACTAAAACCACTAACAGAAAACCCAAACCATCTTCCACGTCCTGGTCGGAACTGGAATGTATTGATAAGAAAATGGAGAGGGAACATGTGAAGGTAGCAGAGCTGGTTTCCTCACTGGCTATACCAAAACAAAGACTTCCTGTTGAGAAGGACCCTGAGGTCTGTTGTGTTGAGGATTACTTAGAACCCAGAGACTCTGCCATCACTAACGTCACCAAAGCAGATCATACACTCACAGAACTTGCAAATCTGAACGATATTTCACACGTGAACGATAAAAATGAGGATTTGGAGCTTCAGGCGATGTTCTACCTTCCTAAATGGAACTCAGGACCAGAGTTCCTCTCCGACAAACCAAGAAAAGATTTGAATCTGGAGACCATCCTCACCAACGTGGCTGAACTTCTGTCTCGATCGCCACCTTTGCTGGCTGACATTTTCGAAGAGCACAAAGCGGTGCCGTTGGTTCCACCGTCTCCTCAACCGCCTCATCAACCGCCTCATCAACCATTCCATGTCAGTTTTAGTCTGGATGTAGACGACGATGACGAGGTCGTTGCTGACGAGGTCGTTGCTGACGATGTGCCCCTCGGTGCAGATTTAGATGAACCTTCTGGAAGTAAAGATGAGCTCCTTGTCCACAGTCCCACCTGGGATGAGGTTTTTGAGGCTGAAGACGTCATTCATGACGCCAACACGGAATTCGAACGGCAAAGTGACTCTAAGGAGGAACATGTAACCCAAAGTCAAAATGACGGTATGGTCAAAAAGAGCGATGACTGGGATGACACGAGGGGTGAGTTAACGTCACGCATGATGGATAGTGGTGTGAAGGACAAGGCAGCCATTACTGGACACTTCCTGTTGGATGAGAGCATGGATCTGTTTGAGGACGATGAAGCCTTCCTGCAAATGACAATTCCCGACATTCCCACTCCTGAAGAGGACGTCACACCCAGTACGTCCCTCAACACTGAGAACACCACTGCACCTTTATATACCTCACCAAAACCATCCCAGCTCCCTGATGGCACACACAGAACACACACTTTAAGTACAAGCCTTAAAACAAAACGCACACAAAGTGAACGTGTCACAGATGATCCTAAGAAAGTTGCTCCTCGGTTAAATTCTTCAATCCAGGGAAACCCAGAGGCAAAAGACGGCTCCCACGTGTTCCCTGTTAATTTTGACCTGGGTTATTCACTGGAGGACTCCGAGGACGAGGCAGTGGAGGATGTTTTACCTTTGTCTTCATCACCTACGAAGCAGAATCCTTCTGCTGTGTGTCTGCCACCTGTTTCTAAATCTACTCCTAGTAGCAGCTTCACCAGACAGTTCAACCAGCCCAAGGTTTCCTCTTCACATATGCCAACAGAGTGTAGGACGTCTAAACGTGAGGCGCTCCCATCTCCGATCACTCCAGCAGGAGCCAGGAGGAAACTCGTGCCTGGTTTTGCCGGGCTGGCGTCCTTTAGCTTAAAACAGTCAGAAGGCAGCGTCACTACGAGTAGAGCAGAAGACGACCCTCGACAGGAATCTGTTCATGGGATCAACTCACCTCATCCAGGTTTGTTTAAGAATTATTTCTTGATGGAAAAATTTGTATTTTGGTGTTTTCCTGCGCCACAGTCCAGTTTGAGTTTCCTGTCAAACTGCTTGCGTGTTTGTGTCTTTTTGATTCGCAGCGGAGCACTGCAGTGATAGTGAAGAAGAAATTCTGTTTCGCAACAGGAGGCATCACAACAAGGTCAACCCGTTGGCGTCCCCGGAATTGGTGAGCAGACCCAGTCGACATATGTGACGGTTTGATTTGACTGACTTGATTTTTTTAAGCTGAGTGTGAAGCGGCTGGGATGAGAATCAGCACCTCCAAATCTGAGGCCATGCTCCTCAACCGGTAAAGGGTGGATTTCTCTGTTCAGGTCGAGGGTGAGGTTCTGCCTCAAGTGGAGGAGTTCAAGTATCTCTGAGTTATGTTCACGAGTGAGGGAAGAATAAATCGTGAGTTTGACAAACGGATTGGTGCAGCATCTGCAGTATTGTGGACTCTGTACTGGTCCGTTGTGGTGAAGAGAGAGCTGAGCTGTAAGACAAAGCTCTCTGTTTACTGGTCGGTCTACGTTCCTACCCTCACCTATGGTCATGAGCTCTTGGTAGTGACCTAAAGAATGAGATCATGGATCTCCGCAGGGTAGCTGGACTCTCCCTTAGAGATAGGGTGAGAAGTTCAGTTATCAGGAGAGACTCAGAGTAAAACCGCTGCTCCTCCACATCGAGAGGAGCCAGTTGAGGTGGTTCAGGCATCATCTGGTAAGGATGCCCCCTGGGCACCTCCCTAGAGAGGTGCTTCAGGCATATCCAACTGGGAGGAGACCCCGGAGAAGACCCAGGACATGCTGGAGAGACTACGTCTCTTGGTTGGCCTGGGAACGCCTTGGAGTCCTCCCAGAAGAGCTGGAAGAGGTGGCTGTGGAAAGAGATGTCTGGACCTCCTGCTCAAGCTGCTGCCCCCGAGACCTGACTTTGGAACAAGCAGAAGATGATGGATTGATGGATGGATGGCTTGTTCTAGACATGTTCTTTTGATGTAATCCACTGGCGTATACTTCAGAAATGAAGACAGGCAGATTTGGACCCTGTTGTTAAGTATTATTTTTTTTATCACCAGTGTGGTTTTCAGACTTGGACTTTTACCTTGGATGTTTTTCGTCAGCGGTTAGCTCCGGTGCACGTGTCACTGCAACTCCAATGCTGTTGAGACAGGAGATGCTCACAACGCACATCGGCCAAGTTGGTGATGGGTTTGAGACTCTGTAGCCGTTTTGAAAGAACTTTGTCGCAAACCACTTGAAGCATGGTCAAAGTTCAAGCGACAGGACTGCATGCCTCTGCGACTCACTCAAGAATTGAGAATCTCTGGAAAAGTCACGAGACATTCTGGAAACTCCTTCATTCATGTTGTTCAACCAGTTTCAGCCCAGTTAGATGCCACCTTTTACAGCAAATTCCCAAACTTCAATCTGATCTTTCACTTTTATTTGCCATTAGTGAACATCACCTCCTCTTTTTAATCAACATTTTACTCTGTGGAGAATAGATTAAAATCTGTTGCAGTTTTCCATGAGAGGTCTTGTATTCAAACCTGGTGAAAACTAAAGTCATTTCTGTCTGATCGCTTCAGAGATAGACCTGAAATGTAGATTCATTCAACCTTTATTTATACAGGTTAGTCTCACTGAGCCTCGAGGACTCTTGATATGCTCATTATGTTGATGTAAGCCCTGCAGAATGAGGTCATGTTCATTTTACAGACTGATTGACTCTACAGTTTATCAAGCTTTAATATCTATGCTTAAAAACCACCAACACAAGACCTGTCTGACTCTTTCATCTTCAACGTACCTGCAGTTGTCATGGTAACCACCAGGGAGGAAGCTATGGCAACATTTAAAGATCTTGTGTCTGAATCCAGCACGTTTTGTTTGTCAGATGGCGAGTGACGTGGACTCCCCAGTGGTTGTGAAAAAGAAACGTGCTTTTGCACGCAACACGGTAAATATTCTCACAGTTGCTTCTCCTTTGGAGAAATGTAACCGTGACGTCAGTGACGACACCAAATGAATTTACTCTCTGTCCTCCAGTTGGATGAGACTCAGGACGAAGCTGTCTCTGATGATGATTTCCGGAATGACTCCATGTTCACGTGCAGAACTTCAGTTCCAGGAGTTAAAAGGAAAGAAATGCAACAAGTTAGAGACAAGGTTTGTTCAGGAGCATATCATTTAATGCTTTTGTTTAAACTGGGTTTTTTAATGTCCCTACAAGTAGGCCTGTTGCGATGGACAATAAGTCAATTAATCGCATGACAAATGAAAATTATCGACCTCATCTTCATTTATCATGTCGTTTCTTCGTGTCTCTCTCTTTCTACTGAAGACACTGGATGACAAAAAGATCAACTCCGGTGCTCTTCACTGACCCCTCCCTTTCTCTTTTTAAAATCTACTAAGCTACGAGCTAAGCTAACAGGCCGACTTCGGGGGGAAAAATCCCTCCGTCTTGTTGAAGCTCCAAAATTTACGGTTGAAACCCGTGCCTTCGTATAAAAAGATTTTCTCTGCAGAAAGAAGCTGAGAACTTGTTTACTGATTTTTATTAAAAGCTTTGTGTGAAAAATGCTATGTTAAAGAGCTCAAACCCCACGAGAATCCGCCATTTTGAGAACTGAAGAGAGACAGCCCATGTCACGTTAAGGGGCCTCCCTCCCATTTTTCTTAGAGACAAACTGCTGCTCGCTCACTATCCATCCTTCGGTTGAAACAGTTTTATACTGGCATCCGGTGATTGAAAAAAGGTTCTACATGCAAAACAAATTAAACATTTCTTCTTAAATTTGACAATAATTTCTAATTATTGTCAAATTTCAAACAATATTATCGTTTATCGGAATAATTTCTGAGACAATCACCCAGCAAAATTTGTTATCGTGACAGGCCTGCACGTTATGCAAGTTAAGCCTTTATCTAAATGTGACTCCTCAGGCTTTTAAAATGTGGAGTCATCATCTGCCAGCTGCACACACACCTTCAGATGTTTGACATTCTCTGCTGTTTGTGCGTCAGAACATAAAACGTCACAAAGTGCGTCAGTTCCTGGATGAGGAGGCAGAACTGTCAGAAGATGAGGAGGGGGCTGATGTTTCATCTGATGAAGAAGACGACAAAGACCTGGATCGGTCTCTTGAGGGCTTCGTAGTGGACAACGCCCACCTCTCCCAGGAACTGAATGGTAGCTTGCTCAGCCTTCGTTGGCTGTTTCACACTCGTTCTGTTCTGTGAGACATCAGGACGATGGAGTCGAACTGTGACGTTCACTCTGTTCTTCTCTCTGTCAGACTCAGAGATGCATGGGGTTTACTTGAAGTCGGTGAGAAGCCCTGCAGTTCAGGGCAAATTCAAAATGTCCTACAGAAACCAGCACAACATGGACATTTTTTCTCAGGTACACGCTGAAAGGCAAAGCAGAGTGATAATGTCTTTGTCCATGTGTGTTTTTGTCTGTATTGTTAGCAAAATGTCTTCTACCACTGGACTGATTTAATTGAAACACCTAAGAAAGTTATCCAAGATGGTCTCCACAGCTATTTTTAATGGTTTAATTCTATTTTTGGCTTCTCTGTCCAGGTGCCAGAGATGGATGAGACATATACAGAGGACAGCTTTGTGGTTGGCAGCGATGAAGAAGAGCTAGTCAGCAACGAGGAAGAGGCCGAGGATGTAGAGCTCATGCCCGAGGCCTCGTTTGTGGACGGAAGGAGGCAGTACGCAACCAGACGGCGAGTTTTTCTGCACAAAGCCCGAGCTAGAGCTGGGTCTGAGACCAGAGCTGATTCTCTGTCCGAGCAGAGAGCTGCAGCCAAAACCAAACGCTCCCGAGTCATACGCATTAACGATTCCAGTGAGGAGGAGGAAGATGAGGGGAGTAAAAAGATGAATATCAGCACTGGAGGCAACAAGAGGCAACAAGAGCCCACTGAAGAGAAATCTACGTCCTCATTTTCCACCTTAGCTTCCAGAGTGTCATTGTTGAGTAAAGCACAAAGAAGCTCAACGAGTGAAGAGCTGAAATATGAGAGGTAAAAAAAAAAAATCCTTATCTGGTTACTCAAGTGCACTCAACAACCTGAGCATTTCCTTTATCCTGCAGGTGTCAACAGAAGTTAGAGAACCAGCACCTTCTGTCGGATGAGCTTGACTTTGTCGAGTCAGAGTCTTCCTCAAAGAAAGAACTCCAGGTAAGTAAGTAAACTTTATTTATATAGCACTTTTCATAGATACACTCACAAAGTGCTTTACAGAAATACAGAATACAGGCTTAAGATAAAACAAAAACAGTAAGAGCAGCTGATAAAAGAACAGTAAGAACAGCTAAATGGACTGTACTTATATAGCGCCTTTCTGTCTTATTTCAAGATACTCAAAGCTCTTTACACAACAATCTGTGTCCTCATTGACCCATTCATACAGTACTCTACTAGATCTCTACAAAGCTAATTGAACAAATCATTCTAAAGAGACTAATCAGAGCTTTATCACATTCATACACTGATGGGACACACATCAGAGGCGATGAGGGGTTCAATGTCTTGCCCATGGACACTTCGGCATGTGACTGCTGGTGGATTCGAACTCCCAACTCTTGCATTGGAGGACGACTGCTCCAACCACTCAGCCACAGCTGATTAAAGAACAGTAAGAACAGCTGATTAAAAACAGAAAGAACAGCTGGTAAAAGAACAGTAAGAACAGCTGATACAAGAACAGCTGATAAAATCAGTAAATAAAACATTTAACTAAAAGCTTGTCTGAATAAAAATGTCTTAAGCTGCTTTTTAAAGAAACGAACCGAGATGACCACATGAAGAGACAGGGGCAGGGCATTCCACAGCCTGGGGGCCACAGCCTGAAAGGATAGGTCACCCCGAGTTTTAAACCGGGTGTTAGGGACCTTTAGGAGGTTCAGCGCCGAAGACTGAAGGGTGCGGGCTGGAGAATAAAGGATCAACATTTCAGTGATGTACTGGGGGGGCCTGTCCATTTAAAGCTGTAAAAGTCAAGACAAAAAATTTAAAATCAATTCTATATTCAACAGGCAGCCAATGAAGAGAAGATAAAACTGGTGTAATGTGTGACCTTGTATTAGTTCCTGTTAAAAGCCTCGCAGCAGAGTTCTGGACCAACTTTAGATGAGCGACAGCAGATTTGTTAAAACAAGCAAAAAGGGAATTACAATGATCTAAACGAGAAGAGATAAAAACACGAATAATCATCTCCAGGTCAGTTTTGGATAACATTGCCCTCAATTTAGAAATGTTTCTCAGATGATAAAAGCAGTTTTTTACCAGAAGCTTTGAATGGTTTTCCAACGACACTGACTGGTCGAACAGAACACCGAGGTTTCTGAGGCTCGGCTGAGAAGAGGAGCCCAGAGAACCGAGGTGTTGTTTGATCCAAGGAACTTTCTGACCAGGAGCAATGATCAGGGTTTCCGTCTTGCTAGAATTTAACTGAAGGCGGTTGTTAGCTAGCCATGCCTTAATATGGGAAACATCATTTAGTAATTCATCTAACTTGTGTAATTCTGAATCATAGAAGGAACAATACAGTTGAATGTCATCAGCATAGAAATGGTAAGACACATTATTGAAGCTACTAATAATCTTTCCAAGGGGGGTGATGTATAAAATGAACAGAATAGGACCGAAGACTGAACCCTGAGGAACACCATACAATAACGGAATGATCTTAGAATATATGTTATTCCCAAACATGAAAGAGGTTCTGTTGCTCAGACAAGAGGAAAAACACTTAAGAACGTGAAAACAACCTGACCTCACAACAAAAATATGGCTTTGTACCTAAATCACATCAGTAGGTTTTATTTTCTGCAGGAGCTCCCCACTACCTCTTCAGTACGAGACGTATCGGTGAAAGAGTCGCCCTGTCCGCCCGGGTCTGCCTGCATTCTGGTGGACAGCCGCTGCATCAGCAGCGGCGTGGAGCTGATGGCTAGCCTGCGTCAGCGACACGCCGCAACCGTCCACGTCTGCTCCCTGGACAGCAGCTACTTCATCGTCAGCAACCGCATGGCTGTGGAGAGGCGCAGCCGGTCGGACTTAGCCACGGTTCAGAACCGCAAGCGACTGGTCGTAAGAATGAGCAGCCTGCTCGGCTTGTTCGAACGCGTCTGTTTGATAGTGGAGAAAGATCGAACCAAACCAGGTGCCTTGTGAACGTCATACTGTCCGTTTTGATGCATCGCAGCAAATATTCAGCAAGTGCTGTAACATCTTTGAAGGTGTTTTTAACGTGCTCGTTAATCGCCCTCGTTTTAGGTGAGCCCTCACGTCCATTTCTGCACACACGTTACTACGACGGCACGCTAGCGGCGCTGGTGCGCGCAGGGATCCGCTTGCTGTGGAGCGACGGTGCAGAGGAGAGCGCCGGCCTGCTGACCGAACTGGCGACGCTGGAGCACCGTAAAGGTCAGGGTGTCTCGGTGCCGCTGGAGGTCAAAGGGCAGCACCGGCAGCAGGCCCTGCAGCTGTACCTGAGCCTGCCTTCGCTCAGCTACGTCCACGCTCTCAACCTGAGCCACAACTTCACGTCCATCGCCCAGCTAATGAACAGGTGAAAGAAATATACGATGCAGCGGGTTGCACCAACACGACAGCTGTTCCCTTCTCCTTTTAACATCGTGTTTTGCTCCCGCAGCTCGATTGAGGCCGTACAGAAAGGAGGCTGCATGAGTCGACCCAGAGCTGAGGAGGTCTACCGCTTCCTGCGCTACTTCTGCGACTCGGTCCTCATAAATACATCCAAAGCAGGAACAACCACCTAGCACTTTGACAAAATAACTAAAATACATCTCTGCATATCAGCCTATTTTTCCTGTTCTTTGTCTTACTGGGAACAAGAACGTTTGTTACTATGTAACTGTATTATTTCACCTCAGTGAGATCAGAGATCTTTATTTTTTGCACAGTAAGCTGAAGGAGCACAACTCTCAAAACTGTCATTTGTTTTATGCTCCATTTCTTAGGTGGTTGAATTTTCCATCATTTTCAGAACAACTGCAGTTTTACGCAGTATTAACACTTAAGATCATACTAAGTCAGGTATCGACACTTGAATTAGGGATGCACGATATTAGCAACATGGTATCGGCCGATATTTGCGTTAAAAGTTAAATATCGGCCAAAAAATTTGACAATAAACTAGTTGTGCACCGATAAGTTTCCTGGCCGATCACAGATTTCTAACAAGTCTGACCTGCCAATTCCGATTTTGGTCGATACCGATTTTGTTTTATAAGCGACACTGTCAGGTGTTGTAAGGTCACAACGCACCTTCAATTTTCCAATATTATTTTGTTGAAAAACATACACTTGAACAATATCCTAGAAGCAATACAAACTTGTTTTACTGGCCATGAGGTAGTGCTCTGAAATATAAAAGAAGTTCAGACAATTGTTAAAACAAACTTGTATCGGACGATTTCCCAAAATTAAGGAAATCAGGGCCGATAAAACCCTACAGGAAACATAATCCAAGTCGAAGTGTTGCACCATTTTCAGCCCCCCTTTTGGCATCTGCATTTGGTAGTAGGTCAAATTGACAAAAGTAATGTATTTTATTTCCACAGCACAGAAAGCTATGTAGTTTCTGCAAGTAGGTCTAGGACAAAAAAAAAAAAAATTGCTATTGGTATTGGTTATCGGCCAAATCAGTTAAAATATTGGCGTACGGAATATCAGCCAAAAATCCAATATCGTGCATCCCTAACTTGAATATTTAATTTGTAAAATTTTATGTTTTTGTCGCACAGCTGCACAGATCTGTAAAGCTTTTTAAAGACCTTGTACACATCATGGTTAGTATTGTACTCCATCTTGTCTGAGAACAATCTAATGTTTAAGCTCTGGAGGTCAGCAGTGTCCGAGACACACATCTGTCACTTTTAATCATTAAAACGTTCTCGTTTGTCACTTGTTGTGATGAAAGAGATGTCAATGCTTGCCTTTTAAACTTCAAAAGCCCAACGATTAAAATAAAACTGAGCCAAAAACTATTTAAAAAAAAATAATTTTTATTCGAGTGGTCTACGTGTGGATGTGCACCTTTGGTGCAATGTATCGTACAGAAGTAACATTCAGTGTTTAAAAGCAGCCCATTGGAACGGATGACAAATCCACATGTAAAGAAACTCAAAATTAAAAAGTTGCAAATAAAAGTACATCTAAGACCTATAAAGGAAAAGAACAAAAATCCATTCACATGTACATCGTTACATCACCAAACAGTGTCAGACCTGCACAGCTTCACCTGGAGGAGTTACCATGACAACATGCGTTAGGTACATGTAGGGAAAGTTGCAGCTTTTGCTTTTTAAAATGCTTTCCTTTCAATGTGTTTAAGTACATGTTATAAATTATTACAGTAATTAAAATTTAGTTTTAAGCAAAAATGATCCCTTAAAAAAAAAAAAAAAGCTGCAAGAAGTTGTAAAATGTGGCTACAGGTACATGGTAGGACTTTAGTAATCACTTCTTCTGCCTCTAGATGGTGCAAATTAGTGCACATTATTGGTCTGATGCTGCCAGCTTGTGGACAATGGAGCCCCGTGAACAGTGTGCCCAAACATGACAGGAACCAAGTTTAAAATTATATATATATATATATAGGGGCTTTTTAAACATTTTCATAAAATGTTGCACAAGTAGGAAATACAAAATGTAAAACCTAATATTTGATCTCTATCGTGGTTTCAACCATACTTATGGTTAACATGCCATTAAGGTGCTTTTTATCGACACTAGCGCGCCAACAGCAGCAGTACTCTTTATTTTATAATACACATTATAAAACTACATTGTTAATTTCTTTATCCAAATTATATTTATGCAACAACAGAGCCTGGGACTGTTTTTGTGAAGCGATTGTTGCAACCTCATGATCGAGCTGCTACATTTTGGATCAAATCCCTATTTTTTTTATAAAGTACAAAGTTCATTGCAGAATCTGCTCATTACTGCCTCTTTACATGTGCAACCGTTGTTAAAAAGCGTTCACGTGGAGGTGAACCGCTTTGGTCAATGACAAAAAATAAAGTGTAAACTTACAATTTTACTGGAAAGAGGCAGAACAGATGCACTGATATGACCAAATTTGTATATATATATATATATTTGGTGACCAAAAACATGAATACTGGACAATAGTTTAACACAAATTACTCTATTACAACCTGAATACAGCATCAAAGACGTAAGTAGTATTTCTTTGACTACATTTTAGGGACGTGTGTAACATTCAAGATTCCTAATATACTAAAAAGTCACTATGTACAAAACATATCTGTGGTTCAAAAGAAACCATATATACAAAAGCAGCTTTTAGCTTAAAATATATATATATTCTTTAAATACCACAAGTGGCTGAAGCTCCACCTGAACAGATGTGTACCAACAGCCAGCAGTTCTTCGAAACGCCAGTGAACAGATCACAGACCTGCATTAGATGCTCTATATACTAAACGGACGAGTTTAATGACACCGACTGCTGCGCAGCGTCTACATGCTGGTTGGCTGCGTCTGTTGCTGCAGGGGCTGCAGCTGGACACACTGAGGCTCAGACATCTGGATGCTACATTCTTCCCCCTGTCGCATGTACATTAAAAACAAAGTCACCGTGGCAAACGTGGTGGCGTTCACTGGAAAAGCCCGGAGCAACGTGGACGTGAGTCCACGAGTGAAAACTCGCCACCCTTCTTTCTGTAAACTTTGTCTGACACAGTCCATAATGCCGCTGTACTTGTTGACGCCCCCGACACCGTCTGCCTGCAGACGCGACTTGATCACGTCCACGGGGTAGGTGGAGAGCCAGGAGGCGATGCCCGACATCCCACCGGCAAACAGCAGCTTTGGGATCATGTAGGGGTCTTCAGGCTCGCAGCCCAACGAACGCGTCAGCACGTCGTATGCGAGGAAATACACGCCGAAGCCCGGCGTCTCGCGCAGAAGGGTGGTGGTCATGCCACGGTTGATCCCTCTGAACCCCTCCTTGTTGTAGATCCTCACCAGGCAGTCCAGGGAGTTCTTGTACATCTTCTTCTTGGACTTCTTCTCTCCAGTCCCTTGCATCTGCATGCGTGTCTTGGCCAGCTCCATTGGGCAGCAGATGACGCACTGAATGGATCCAGCTGCAGCTCCAGCCAGGAACTGGTTGAGAGGCGTGTCGCGACCAAGGTGCCGCATGGCGTTACCTTGGACACCAAAAACAATGGCGTTGATGAACGTCAGCCCCATCATGGGAGAGCCGATACCCTTATATAAACCCAGCATCTGCAGAGGAGAAGATTAACTGGAGTCACACGAACATCGGAAAACTCGTTCATGCACTTGAAACAGATCTTAAACTGCACTGAGGGAGAGGCTGCTTGTTTCATAGCTGCGTAGAATCTCTAATGTCTTCTGTCATTTCAAAGCTTCAGGTTGTTGGAAAAATAAAAACGCTAAAACCAAACACGTTCAGATTTCTACTCTAACCAAAGTCTTCTGAACAACTATCAAGTTCCAGCACAAGCGTTTCCCATGAATCACCTCCACTCTCCTTAGATAAATAATTCATTTATATGTATGTGAAGGTTTCTGTCCAGTGCCCTGAGACGACTTCTGTTGTGAGCTGGCGCTACACAAATAAAAGAAACTGAATCATAAGGAAATGGATGCACCGTTTTTTTTTAAACATCTAGAAATTTGCTGATATACCAACAGGTGTTGCAAATATACAATCAGAGACTGAAAATTAAGATTGACCGTGTGCCGCGGCCTCGTAGCCAGGCATACTCCACAAATAGCACAATGTTCGGAGCTTTATTTAGGCATGCAGGAGTAGGTTCTCACTGACCCTGGATAAGGGATACACACCCTTCGCCTGTCGACCCCCCTAAGGAGGCAGTATGCTGGTGGATGCATGTCACAGATGGGAAAGTAACTGCACACTACTGGTCTGTGTACAGTGAAGGCTACACGTATTCCTCAAGAGTCGTAAGAATATTTAAATGGAGCCTATTGTTTTAAAGGAGAACTAACAGAAAAGGTAAAGAGCTTACCGATTCCTGGCGTGTGATTGACTGAAAGCAGTGAAACGTCCCCCGGTACAAAGGTTTGTCCACATTTTGAACCTGAAGCCTCACCTACGGAGGACAGCACTGACGTCAGAGTCACATAAAGGAACGTTAAAACGGCCACAATGCATACAAAGAAAGTACTTTAATACATATTTACAGGGAAATAAGCAAACATAAAAAAAATTAAAAAAAATCAGGGTAAAAGAAAATGTTTAGGGGGTGCAACATGTGGGAGAAAAGAAAGAAATTTTAACCGAGCATCAAGTTTGTGCAAAGCAAAATGTCTTCTTCACTTTACATTTCTATAAACTCAAGACAGGACATTTGGGTGAGAGAAAGAAAGACCTGGACCATACTTACTAGGTCACATATCCGTGGAGAGGTTGTTTATTTCTCTCTCTCATCTACAACACAGTGACACTGTAGCTGTTAAAGACAGCCGCCCCCAGCCCCAAGCAGACACCGGCTCAGGGAGAAATGACATTAAAAGCAAGGTGTAAAAGAACTACAACCAAACCATTCACCATCTGTGTGTGCCTCTAAAGCAGATGCAACAAATTAACAATTATCAAGAACTAGTACCGTCACCTTGCCATCCTTCTGACACCATTCGTTTATGATTTATAGAGACTTTCTGCAGTTTAGGTTGCTTTACTGGATACCGACTCCGGGCAAAAACTTTCAAATCTCATGTACATTTACAGAAATACCTGTAATTTAATGTTTAAACCACACAAAATGTTAACTTAGTGCTGAAATTTAGTTACGTTTTTACTTTTAACAATACACAAAACATCCTAGCTTTAAAGGCCAAGTCATTTTCTAACTTTGTGGTTCAAAATGATGAGTGAATAGGATTAGGGAGTGTTACTCTGCTGACTGAGAGCAAAGTCTCCATTTGGTCTACAGTAGTCCCTCGCTACTTTGCAGTTCGACTTTCGTGGACTCAATCTTTTGCGGTTTTTCAAAGTAGGACTGAACACGAGAAAAAATAATAATTGTACACGACACGGTTGTCAACTTTAATATTGCTCGTGTGATTAGGACAGTACTGTAAAGTAAAAAAATTACGAAAAAAATAAAATGCTTCGGACAGGCGCTGCCATTTTGTAGTTTTATCTCAATAAGCCTACACTGTATCCACGCTCGTAACGACTACATTTCCCAGAAGCCAACAGGGCCCTGCCCAGAAGCCCGTTGCTTTCTGCTGAAATACGTAGAGGGAAAGTTTTGATCTGATCTGCAAAAGTGTGGCGCTTATTACAGTGACATCGGCGCCCAGCAGATGCAGAGAGCTGCACGGAACCTACTGGGAACCAGACCAGAACTGGACCTCCAGACCCATCGGTGAATCTGAGAGCTGCTAGCTGGCCCACGAGAACTTCCAAGTGGGGGATGCACCGCTGTAAGTCCAGCGCTCCCTCCAGAGCCCACCAGAACTTTTTCCATCTACTGGGATGCTCAATCAGACTACCGGTACCACGCCAGCCACTTGAAGGACAACCCCCCCCCCCCCCCACACACATAAAAACGCGCTTCGACGCTCAAGGTCTGCACAGACCCGGACCTCCAGACCCATCGGCAAATCAGAGAGTTGCTAGCCGGCCTACGAGGACATCCGAGCAGGGGACGCGCAGCCAGTCTAGGTCCGGCTTCTCTCTGGAGCCCACCGCCACTACCCTGAGCCAGAGAGCCGACCAGAACCGGCAGGGTAGGTCCGCCGAAACTGAACCAAGTCAGAGCGGAACCGAGCCGCTGCTGTTCTAATAGCTGCTGAGTAAAATTTACAAACAAGTATGTTGTTAAAATGAGTAGGTTTAAGAGTTTAGAACATTGCAAGAGTGTGGGAAGGGTTTCTAAAGCCTTAAAATATATTTAAATACTAAAATAAATAGAACATCGCCACTTCGTGGGTGTTCACTAATTGCATGGGGGGTGGGGTCTGGAACTTAACTCTCGCAATAAATGAGGGACTACTGTAATGACAAATGATCATTTCAGTTAAAATGCAAGTTAATGGTGCATCTTATTGCTGACATCAATATATCTCTGAAAATGTAAAGCATTCATGTAACTTCAGTCTGCAATATGCAATAAACTCATTTAGCCATCAAAACTAATGTTGACTGTTTAAATTATTCATCTAGAAAAAAACCCCATCTAATTAAAACACAAAATATTGTCCTAAAGATAATAAAAGGCTCAAGTGAAGCCGTTTTATTCTTTGTGTAGTTGTATACAATCAGGTTACCTTGATTCTGGTTGCCTGTGACGTAGTCTTCACATTCTACTTTAACAAAACCAGTGAAGCCAGTTATTGCCTAACAAAGAGTGTATGACAGAGAGGAAGGAGCAGACACCCACCTTTACAGTGTCAAATGGATGTCCAACCAAAACACCTGCAGCACCTACAAGACACACAAAAGTCACATAACCACCGGCCCGGCAGAATTTCCAGGAATGCATCTTGACGGACACCTTTTGCATGAAAGTGTTAAACTGAGATCAACTTCTGATGAGTGGTGAGTTAAAGCCAGGTAGTTTGGTTACACCTCCTAAATCAAATGCACAATTCATAATTATAAGATCTGTTAGCACTCACGTGTTGCGAGTTAGTCTCGGCTACAACCATACCAAATTTTAGCTAAATGTCTGTAAAATGGGCAGTTTAAGCCATTTGTTGCCTTTGCCAAAGTTTTGATTTGTGGTAGCCATCTTGAATCAAATTAACACCAAACTTTAACACAGTTGTACATGTACACCCGTTAATTACTTCCTGAGAATTTCACTAAAATCTGTTGAGTGGTTCATGAAGTATTTTGCAACAAGAGACTAACAAGTACACAAAAATATAAATCACACGTTTGCCTTCACCTTCGGGTGCTGATCTGTGCACAGCTGTAGGATTATTCGTACATACAGGGGCTGCCTGGATTTTCTTTACAGTTATCGTTAACGTTTGTTGAATCTGCTTTTGTTGTTTTGGACGAACGCGCGGCAGCAGCACATCACGGACCGATCGATACGGTTTTAGGAAAGCTAGTGGCTTAAAATGTCATGACTCGCCTGTCCAAAATCAAACCACAGTGACCAAAGTGATATTGAGTTATGTTATCAGCTGGTCACAATGACGTCAGCGCTGCAGCGACATGGCCTTGACTCGTGTCAATGATCCCCAGACCCATTTCACAGCAGTTATTTCACACATGAGCATTTCTACATGGAAGTGCAAACAAGAACTTGGTTGGAAACTCAGTAAATTAGCATTGGGGATAAGGTTGGATGAGTTTTTCCTGATAGTCTTAAAGGTTTGTGGGAAACGGCAAGCTGTGCCTCCCCATATGTCAGCCATGTCACCATTCTATGACTTTACTATACATTTTCACAAACTTAAGCTGTCTGCAAAAGCAGCTCTGCTAAAGATGAAACATTTATGGGAAAGTTCATCAAACACTAGTCAAAAATCAAGCACAATGTCTTGATGCATGCTCAATAATCCAGGTAGAAAAATCTAAAAATGGTTACAGTAAGTCAGGTCCTCTGGATGGGTTAAATAAATAAAACGATAAATAAAAATTGTAGAAACGTTTCGACTTTCATCTGAAAGACTTCCTCAGACTGAGGAGCTGTACTAAGCTCAGTCTTAATGTCACATTCTCAATTCAATTTATGTAGCTGCAAATCACAACAGAAGTCATCTCAAGGCACTGAACAAAAACATTTACATACATAAAAAGTAAGTTAATAATGTTGTTAATCTGAGGAGCAGACCGATTTGAGTCTTAATTTTTGTCATAGACTCATCTTGAGCATGAAGGCGACAGTGGAAAGGAAAAACTCCCTCATGAGGAAGAAACCTTTAGCAGAACCAGGCTCAGGACAAGCGTCATCTGCTGCAACCAGCTGGGTTTGTTAAGAACAGATACACAATGGCAGATCAGAATCACATGTTAAGATAGAAATAGTATCAAATGAAAAATATTCAATTGTAACTATTAATTTTAAGGAAATTAGGTCAATTTGTCCTCAAGTAGTCTAAGCATATAGCAGCATAACAAGCTAACTAACTATAGGATTGATCAAAAAGGAAAGTCTTAATCCCAGTCTTTAAACTGGACAATGTGTCAGCCCCATGGACAGAAACTAGAAGTTGGTTCCACAAGAGAGGAGCCTGATAACTATAGGATCTGCCTCCCATTCTGCTTTTAGAAACTCTAGGAACCACAGTGGCCTGCAATTTGAGAGCCAAGTACTCTGTTAAGAAAATATGGAACAATAAGATCTGTAATATAAGATGGAGCTAGGTTGTTGAGAGCTTTGTAGGTTAAAAGTAAGATTTTGAATTCAATTCTGAATTTGACAGGGAGCCAATGGAGAGAAGCTAAAACTGGAGAGATATGATCTCTCCCACTAACTCCAGTTAAGACTCTGGCAGCAGCATTTTGGATTAACTGAAGACTTTTTTAAAGAAGTATTTGGACACCCAGATAATCCAGATGATCCAGGACATCCTTGTAAAAGAGATTGATGATCTCAATGGATTTCTTCCTGGTAAAATAAAGTAATAATAATAACAAACCATTGCAATAGTCCAGTCTAGACGTGACAAATGCATGGACCAGTTTTTCTGCATCATTTTTAGATAAGATGTTTCTAATTTTAGTGATATTACGCAGGTGGAAATTAAGCAGATCCAAGATGTGGTTATTAACATGTGGTTATCAACATTAACGTGTTGAAGATTTGGATTAAGCTATTATTTTTGAAAATTCAGAGCTCAACAGGACAAAAACTGTCCAAACATTAATCAGGTTTTAGTGACAATTCTAAAATTGTCCTATCTGTCAGTGAACCAGAGGTAATAGTAATAAGGATTTAATTTTCTCTCTAATTGAAATCAATTTATAAAGAATCTCATGAAATCATCACTGCTTATAGCTGTAGAGATACACAACTCAATAGAGGTAGGGCTTTTTTTCATTAGTTTAGCTATACAGTAGTGCTGAACAGAAACCTGGGGTATTTCTATTCGCATCTACTAAAGATGAATAATATATAGTTCTAGCTTTATGAAGGGCTTGCTTATATGTTAGCAGGCTCTCTCTCACATCTGACAAAAATATACATACAAAAATGCAACAATGAGATAAAGACAAATCAGGTAAACTCAACATTATAAGGAATGCTCAACACCTTATGTGGAAAGATCTGACTAGTGTAAGTTTGGGTGAAGCTTTATTCAAAGAATATAATATAATATAGAATATGTCGAAGCAGATGGCCGCTTGTCCTGAGCCTGGTTCTGTTAAAGGTTTCTTCCTCACGAGGGAGTTTTTCCTTCCCACCGTCGCCTTCATGCTCGCTCAAGATGAGAGTTCTGGTCTGCTCCTCAGATAAATATAGTTAACTTGTTATTTTTTTTTTATACATGAATGTTTCTGTTCAGTGCTCTGACTTCTGTTGTGACTTGGCCCTCTGTAAATAAACTGAATTGAAAGAAAGCAAATGAGATCTGCTGCAACAAATGATACACGAGAGGAGCATGCCTGTGAACAACTCCCTAAAGAATGACAGTCCCATTCAATCAGCGTTTCGCAATCCTAGATAAGAGAAAATACTTGTCAGATGATACAGGCACGAAACAAAATTGGGAGTCTCCGATTATTTGGCTGTTCTTAATAAGGCGCCAGCATAGGGTTAGCTAGCACACTTCTTGAAACAGCAGCGTAAAGTGTAGAAGCATCCTACTTCAACTGCGGGAGTTTACCTGCACTTCTGCTCGCCTATAGTTGTTCCCCTTTATATCACATTTACTTATTTATTATCCGTTGCTGCTGAGGCCAAGTGCGAACGTCTGCACGAACTCCTCTCAGAGCTGTACACGCGTCAAGAAACGACGAAGAAGAAAAAAAAAAAAAAACGGACACGGCTAACGCTAATGCTAGCCGAGGATGCTAACGCTCTCTGAAATCACTTACCTCCTGCGCACCCAGCTGCGAAGTCCAGTGCCATCCCCTCAAACAAAGTGGAATGGTTGGGTGTAGATGTAATTTAAGCACAAGTATTATTAGGGGGAACTATATAGCGAGTTTTGTTCAAGAATATTTAACCCCCCCACCCCCCGCCGGCTTGGTGCTCAGCCAGGTTGCTCGGCTAATTATTTTACTCCCTCCTGATGCCGACTGAAAGAAAGATAAGCAGTCAGTCCGGACTCTGAGCGTTATTAAACGGCACTAATTGTCGCCTCAGATCCTTCTACTAGAATTGTTCTTCCTGCCAAACCTTTTCTATTTCTGTGCCGCGGCACTAGGCGGAGTTTGGCGGCGTAAAAGAAGGAGCGTGAATGCCCTTTTTAAGGCAACCCAATCGGATTACTCGTAAGCAGACAACACCCCTGGTCGGCTCTGTCCGCCCCCCGCACCCATTGGCTGCTGGCAGGTTAGAAGAGGGTTATAATTGTCGCGGCTGATCCCCTCCACGGTCAAAATCAACAGCGTTATCGCCGCGGTGCTCGTCACTGTGAAGGCGCAGCTACGACATAAACTGCGTGACCCTGAAGAACATGAACGTGACGCGTTCACGAACGTCCAACACTGTGGGAATTTATACGTCCACGTAATAATAAAGACAAAAACATGACTAAGGGCGAATGTGTTTTGCACCCTGTGTGCATGTGTGTACTGTGAGCGACATTAAACACTAAACAAACTTAATGAAACGCTAACAGCTGGATGCACACAGCTGTTAAACTTTTGAAGTCCACTCATTTCAAGATGGCCGCCACAGCTGAGCAACCTCACAACACAAAAATTACATTCAGTTCTACAGAGCTCAGATTTGTTGTGGTAGTAGCTGAAAGTCATCCCAAAGACATACTGTAAGTATTAACAGAGACCCCACAAGAGACTGGAACTCTGCTACGACATAAGTTTTGGAGTTAACCCAGTTCAGAATGGCCACCATAGCTAATCCACCATAGCCAAGTCAAAAATGACTATAGTTTTACAGCCGCTCAGCTGAAATTGATGTGGTAGTAGCTAAACACCAAGGTCATGCTCAATAATCCAGGTAAACATCAGGTCATCTGGACGGTTTCTTTTTTTTTACTGAGACGTTTCGTCCTTCATCCAAAGGACTTCTTCAGAGGAGCCACCAACAAACTGAGTCCCACAAGCAGCACACTCCAACAGTGGGGGTAAAAAAAACAGTTTGCTGGTGATAAGATGGCCTCCAGAGTCCAACAACTCCTCTGAGGCAACCATGCCAAGTGGTTCAAAACACCAAAGTCCATGCTCAGTAATCCAGGTAAACATCAGGCCATCTGGACGGTTTCTTTTTTTGTTGTTGCTGAGACGTTTTGTCCTTCATTCAAAGGACTTATTCAGTCTGAGGAACAAAATGAGTCCCACAAGCAGCACACTCCCATAGTGGGTAAAAAAACAAAACAAAACAAAAAACGGTTTGCTGGTGATAATGGCCCCCGGAGCACAACAACTCCTCTGAGGCAGCCATGCCAAGTGGTTCAAACACCAGTCCATGCAGTAATCCAGGTAAAGATTCAACAATGTTCTTCTTGTCAAACTTCTTCTTTTGAGATGTTTCGTCCAAATGACTTCTTCAATCTGAGGGGCCCAGAGGCCATTATCACCAGCAAACTGCTTTTTTCCACAACGGGAGAGTGCTGCTTGTGGGACTTCAGATTGAAGAAGTCCTTTGGATGAAGGAAGAAATGTCTCAGCAAAAAAAACAAACCGTCCGGCTGATCTGACTGAACATTGTTGGTAGCTAAAAGTAATCCTCAACATGTTCTTTGAGCACCAATACATCTTGCAGCTCAACATCTTTTACAAAGTTTGACTGGTTTGATTGGTCATAGTTTTTAACCAAAGCAGCTTTAACCCAATTCCTAACCAGCATAATTTTATTTTAAATCTCTAAAGATTTAAAGATCAAAAGGTGTCGGCTGATACGCAACCCATCAGGGAATGCTACGCATTTAAATGTTAAAAAAAGTAGCAAAAGGGACCATTATACACAACCTCTTAAACTGGTTTTGACAACAGGCCAGTGTTTCCAAGAAAACACTCCCAAGAATTAGCTCCAGAAGCTTTAAAGTGGATACATTCTGTACATGCCGAGCAGTGAAGAACTACAAGTGCTCCGCTGGAGAAGTTCAAATAAAATTCGAGTGAGAACATAAGTTTCTCACACAGTGTTAGGAATTAGAGAATGATGGGCTGAACAGTGTTTGACTCATTTTTATAACAAAACAGAAAATGTGCTGTAACACTTTAGTGTAGCTTCTGTGTTTCCAGGAATGTCCTTCAGGGTGCATTCACACCTGATAATCCGGTAGACTCGGTTCGGTTGGGGACCAATATTCATGACATTCTCATCGGTGACATATGACTTTTTCTTTTCCATCCTTGCACTGATCAGTTCCTTAAAGTAAACCCAAGTCAGCATCTGCAGTAACTTCACTTTGTCATAAATGATTACAGTATTTGTAATGTACTTCTTATAACCAGGACCTGATGCTGCAGTGTTTTGTTAATGTTTCGAGGTGCCTTTTATCACTGGAAGCTGGTTAAAGTTATGTAAATTATAGACTATTATAGAAAACCCTGAGCACCTTCTTCATCAGACTGTCATACAACGACATCGTCTTCACCACTACAAGAGAGCCTTCCAGCCATCAGCATCTAGAGCAACTCTTTAATGAAACCAGGATGATGAGTTACATTTAATTCATCTTTGGGATTAATAAAGTAATTTTGAATTGAAATCATCTTTACAAAACCGTTGACTCAATTCCGTTTTGCTACTCACAAATGGATGGGCTTTATTTCCACTGTGCAAACTGTTGACTATATTTCACTACAAAGACGTACCATGAGTTCATCCTGCTGCAAGTTCTGCTTAATGTAACTGACTTTGAGTTGTTTTTTTTAATAACCTGGTGATTTTCCTTTTTAGATTGTTTCTATAACAAGCTTCCATTGAGCATATTCTGGTGAAATTCATCCCTCAGACTTTGCTCTGACATGTGAATTTTAATAACCAATATGGAACTCAAGTAAACGCCAGAATCCAATTAGTCTAATTTAGAATCAGGTAAATAATCAGAATATTGCTCTGCACATAAACTTAACCACATAAGACATGCTCAATGATACTTGACTTTATAATATCCTTGTACTCATCGTTACCATACACAACACAGCTGCTATTCAATTTATATTAGCATTTATTGTTAACAATGCTGCTTTTTACAATAAAGTCCAAGACGTGCACGGTGGATATGTGGCTGTGTTAAGACGGTTTAAAATGCTCCACTTTAATCATGTTTAAGTCCTGACAGACCTGCATCTATGAACACATGAACAGACATGAGTACATGACCAGCAGCATGAGGGAGCGGTGCCATGCATGTTTGACATGAAGCTCGTGAACGTCCAGTGGTTCTGATGAAGCTGGATCTCCGCTGCTCCGCTGAGCTACAAGCTAAAATTTAAAGGCCTGGGTGTCATGAACTGCCTCACTATCTCATCTGTGACTTGTCTGCGTCTCTCCTGGTGCTGGGCGATCATCGGCTGCAGAGTTTCAATCAAGATCTTCTTAAGCTCTCCTGTTAGGAGAGCTCCACTTGTGTAGTCCTGCAAAGAGTAAACATTAAACGAGTATCAGGGAATGGAGAGCAGAAGATAACAGATGAGAGACCAGAGAAAAACGATAAACAAAATTAATTAGAGAAATCGCATTTCCTGCAAAAATCCAGAGTGAATGCTTATTGCAGAAGAACTTGCCAAGAAATAGCTGAAATGTAGCTGAAAAGGTATAACATGCTTAAATTAGCAGAAGAAAGCGGAAAGAACATTTGCTCAACTGGCTTAAAGAAGCAGACATGAGCCCTAAAAAAGTGGAAATTATCTGAAAAAAGCTGAAATTTGAAAAAAAAAAAATGCTGAAAAAAACAGAAAAAGGCTAAAATTACAAGAAGGAAGTGGAGAGAGCACATTTTTGCTGAATTAGACTGAAAAAAGTTGAAAGGAGTGCCAAAAATGTGGAATGAGCTGAAAAATGAGCATAAAACAGCTAAATAGTAGTTGAAATAACTCAAGCTAGCAACATAACAAACTGAAATTAGCAGAAATAATTAAGCTGAAAGGAGCAGAAATTACCACAAAAAAAATTGCAATTATTTGAAAACAGTTGAAATTAGTAAAAAAAAATGCTAGTAGCTAAAAAGATAGAACAAGCTTAAATCAGCAGAAGAAAGCTGAAAGAACACGTTCCCCCCATTAGGCTGAAAGAAGCAGAAAAGAGCACAAAAAAATGGAAATTATCTGAAAAAAGCTGAAATTAGCAAATAGCCGAAAAGTAGCTAAAAAAGCAGAAAGAAGCTTAAATTATCAGAAGGAAGTGGAGAGAGCACAGTTTTTCTGAACTAGGCTGAAAAAAGTTTAAATGAGTGCAAAAAATATGGAATTATCCAAAAAAGCTAAAATTAGCATAACAACAGCAAAATAGTAGCTGAAATAACTGAAACTTGCATAAATACGCTGAAAGGAGCAGAACAAGTTCAAATTAGCAGAAATAAGTTCGAAGAAGCACAACAATGTAGTTAGCAGAAATAATCTGAAAGGAGCACAAAACGGCTGAAAACAACAGCTGAAAGTAGCTAAAAAAGTTTGAATTTGCACAAGGAAAGAAGGTGAACCAGAACGAAATGTGGAAGGAGCAGTAAGGATGTAAAATGAGCTCAATTCTTTTCCTATGAGAAAAAAAAATGGCAAAAAAGGCTAAATCTAAATATTTCAAAAAGCTAAAGTTACACCACTAACAAAAGTCATGGCAGGATTGTCCTGAAAGAGTTGAACGTTTTGATGATTTGTTGAAAATAGGTCTGTCACGATAACACATTTTACTGGGCAATTAATTGCCTCAGAAATTATTGCGATAAATGATAATATTGTTTGAAACATGACAATAATTAGTTATTATTGTCAAATTTATGAAGAAATTTTTAAGTTGTTTTGCGTTTAGTACCTTTTTTTGACTACTGGATGACAGTATAAGACTGTTTGAACTGAAGGATGGATAGCGAGGGAGCGAGCAGCGTGTCTCTTAAAAAAATGGGAAGGAGGCCCCTTGACATGACATGGGCTGTCTCTTTTCGGTTCTCAGAATGGCGGACACTCAGTGTGGTTTGAGCTCTTTAGCATAACATTTTTCACACAAAGCTTTTAATAAAAAATCAGTAAACAAGTTCTCAGCTTCTTTTTGCAGAGAAAAACAACTTTTTACACGAAGGAATGGGTTTCAACCGTGAATTTTGGAGTTTCGACAAGACGGAGGTTTTTCCTGAGGTCAGCCTGTTAGCTTAGCTCGTAGCTTAGCTTCTCAGCTTAGCTGCTTTTAACGATCCAAAAACGTGATTTTGGCTCGTTAAAAGATTTTAAAGAGAAAAGAGAAAGGGAGGGGTCAGTGAAGAACACCGGAGTTGAGCTTTTTGTCATCCAGTGTCTTCAGTGGAAAGAGAGAGACACAAAGAAACGATAAAGCCGATAAATGAAAATGAGGTCAAAAATGGATCAAAGTAGAGTGAACGCTTCATAAACATTTTCACAATGAAACAAACACAGAGAATAAAGTAATCTGATTTGCTTTGCGTGCTTTTATCTCACCTGTCTGATTTTCTCCAGCTGTTCATCATCCTCAAGGAAGAAAGTCAAATACATGAATGAGACGTCTACATCTGGGTTGCCACCGTACTTCCTGTGCTCCTCCACCGTGTCCTTTCCTCCCGAAAATGCATGCTTGTTGATCTGTGAGGAACGAACACAAGTCAGAAAGATTATTCATCTACCTTTGTAAGATTTTCAGAGTCGTCTAAACTGTTAGAGGAGCACCTTGTTTTTGATCTGCTTCGGCGTGTCAGTGAGGAAGATGGAGGAGTTCATGTCGCTGGCGCTCATCTTTGTCTGCGCGCCCTGCAGGGCAGGGAAGAAGGTGGAGTGCAACAGGGCTGGTTTCAGATGGCCGATCCTTGGAGCAACATCACGTGTCATCCTGAAGTACGGGTCCTGGGCGAGGGACAAAAAGGATCACATATTGATTATTAGCATATCAACACAGTTTTATTTGACCGCCTCCTGTTGTTCTTACCTGGTCTATGGCACAAGGGATGAGGCACTGTACGTCCTTTCTGCCTCCAAAAATCTGAGGGAAAGAGTTGCTGAAGGATGGAGCTGCCTGGATGGCTGGGAAGCTGATCTTTCCTGAAGAAGGATAAATGAGTGCAGAGTGATTATGAGAGCTCAGAGGCAGAACTTCACTCTGACGTGGGAAGTACAACAGGATGCAAAAGGCTGAGTGTCTTACCTATGCAGTCACTGTCTGTAAAGCCAAAGATGCCTTTAACCTGATTAAATGTCACATGTTTCTGGACCTTCACCACATTCCTGTAGAACTCAGAGGATGAACTGCGGGACGTAAAATGAAAAACACGTTGAAAACAACCCAATGCAAACTGCCATGAGTACTTTATACTGAAGTTGTGTAAAGAAAAAAAAATGTTCTGCTTAAAATTATATTTTGACGATTAACACGTTCTCTGCTAATATTTTTATTCTTCGTAGGCGATCAGAGGGTCATAACCACAGATTGATCCTTGATTTGCATTTTTTTGCATCTCCCTTTGTCTTTGATCATCGTATTGTAAGTTAATGTTTACACAAGAGAAAGTATTTCCAACCCACACATTGCATACAGCTTTACTTTCTCTAGTGCCACTTCATCCCACACTTACAATGCGTTCCAAATTACCATGCAAATTGGATTTATGTGCCATCGATATTTAATATGCTGTTTTTCACCAGTGCACCATCTCGTGCTGCAACTAAGACCTCTGTGTCACGTGCTGCTGTGATCATAAAAGAAAAACTCATTGTGTGGCCACCATCCTCCAGAGTTAGCTTTAACTTTAACTGAACCTTCGGACTATCCTCAAGCAAAAGGTTTATGAGGGTGAGAGGGAATTCACATGAAAGCAGCGGCTCAAAGAAGCTTTTCTGACATCTTGAACAGAAATTCAAGGAGAAACACTCCAAAAACTCACAAGCTCAAAGGATGCAAAAACTGTGAAGGCGATATCAAAGAAAGGGTCTTGTGTTGTTGCGTAACTGAGCCTGTTGAGAAGTGTTTGACTGAGCTTTTGATTTCAGTAAATGTGACTTTTTAAATGCTGCTAATTCAACACATAACCATTTTCACTTCTTTAAAACTTATCAAATGTTTTGGAACTCTGCTGTGCATAACGATTTGGAGCCGTGCTTTTTGATGGATGGACGGATGGTTATCATTAAGAAGGTTTTTTTTTTCAGTAAAACTTGATTTTTATTCCAACGGTTGATGGCTTGAAAATTATAGACTTTCATTTGCATCAACAATTCAGGCAAACCAGAGAAAAGTATAATTGGTAATGCAATAATACAACTGGTATCATATCACTCTTTGCAGAGAGTGGTGAAGGCTGCACAGAAGTCTGTTGGAGTCAGTCCCCACACCATCACAGACATCTACACCTCCAGATGCAGGAAGAGGGCCACCTGCATCACAAATGACCCCACTCACCCAGCACACACACTTTTTGCCCCGCTCCCCTCAGGAAAGAGGTTGAGAAGCATTAAGTGTAGAACCACTAGACTGAGGAACAGCTTCTACCCTGAGGCTGTTAGACTCATGAATCTCTAACCAGGATAATCACTGTAACGCCACTTGATTGTTGATATGTGCTGCTGATTAGCCATGCTGCTGATTTATTCATGCTGCTGTGTTCAGTACTCATCTGCTCACACAGACTCATGTTCGTGCTGCTGTTTGGCGTATTGTTTTTGTACTACTAGTGAACTTTTTAGTTGTGGTGTAGTCTACGCGATACGCGGGTACACGGAGTTTACCCAGTAGAAAAGCTTGAGAATTTCAGTATACCCACTTAAAAGTGCCCAATGATACGTGACATATCAATAGGCACATGTCACTGATACATTAAATGGCAGTTAAATGCTTCTGTAACAATCTGTCTTTATTGCATTTGCTTATCCAGCAAATGATTGTATAATTAATACTTGAACATGTTTTGCTTTGATACAGTTTTATAAATTCTATTAGGCCTGTCGTGATAAACAATAAATCAATTAATCGCATGATAAATGAAAACTATCAACCTCATTTTCATTTATCAGCTTTATTGTTTCTTCATGTCTCTCTCTTTCTACTGAAGACACTGGATGACAAAAAGCTTAACTCCGGTGCTCTTCACTGACCCCTCCCTTTTTCTTTAAAATCCATTTTAACAGTCAAAAATCACATTTTTGGATCGTTAAAAGCAGCTAAGCCAAGAAGCTAAGCTACGAGCTAAGCTAACAGGTCGACCTCGGGTAAAACCTCCGTCTTGTCTAAGCTCCAAAATTCACAGTTGAAACTGTGCCTTAGTCTAAAAAGTTGTTTTTCTCTGTCAAAAGAAGCTGAGAACTTGTTTACTGATTTTTTTTATTTTTATTAAAAGCTTTGTGTGACAAATGGTATGCTAAAGAGCTCAAACTACACCATTCGTCTGCCATATCACCATGTCAGCCCATGTCACGTCAATGTGCCTCCCTCCCATTTATCTTAAAAAGACACGCTGCTCAACTATCCATCCTTCAACATTTTTCAGTCAGGTCATCTGGACAGTTTCTTTTTTTTGTATACCTGGATTATTGAGCATGGACTTTGTTGTTTTCAACCAGTTTGACAAGACTGTCAACAAGGAAGAGGGCCGGCAATGGAGGAGGGGGCGTACCAAAGAGACCATCTTATCACAAGCAGAACTGGTTTGTTCCACTTTGGAGTAAGCTGTTGGGGGGAAAATCAGTTTTGTTATGCGTTTCCTTGACTGATGAAGCCTTCCGGACCGAAGGTGAAACGTTTCAGCACAAAAAAAAAGAAACTGTCCAGATGACCTGACTGAAAAATGTTGAATTGCATACCTGGATTATTGAGCGTGGACTTTCTTATCCATCCTTCAGTTCAAACAGTCTTATACTGCCATCAGGTGGTCAAAAAAGGTACTACACTCCAAACAAATCAACATTTCTTCTTAAATTTGACAATAATTACTAATTATTGTTCAATTTCAAACAATATTATCATCTATCGCAATAATTTCTGAGACAATTAATCGCCCAGAAAAATTTGTTATCGTGACAGGCCTAAATTCTTTCACATATTTTTACTACAAAGACAACTGTTGTACAACGTTTGTTGTTCATTTATTCAAATATAAGAATCAGAGAAATTTGAAAATGTTCTATATACTTAAATCTAAATAAATTGTCGATTACATTGTACTAACCAGTGTACTTTGGTTTCTAAGCACAGTATACCCACTACAAAAATGTAGACTACACCACTTTAGCGTATTTCTTAGTTAATATTTAGATCTTATTACTGTTTTTGTTTTACAACGTATACTTTTGTTGGGTGTAACTGGGACCCTGTGTACACAATTTCATTCCCCCACATGCACCACATGTGGTGCGTATGACAAATAAAGAACCTTTGATCATTTGGACTGCAGTGTCCTCTCAAGCGGACACCATGTAGCTCTGCATTCTGCAGTCAACAGGATTTAAGATCCCAAATACAAGTGAAGGCATGAAGTCTTTTTTTTGTCTCATAAACCTGAGCCTGTTTCTGAAAAGGCCTTGCAGATATAACAAAACTTTCATGAATTATCTCTGTAAAACTGTGAACACAGCTAAATTAAACACAAAAAGATAAAGATGTGTGTTGGTGATTATAGTTTGACATCAAATTTTACCCCATATAGTCGAGATCTGAGAAGATGAATGTCTTATTGATGTCAAAGCCGCAGGCAACAATATCCCTGGCATTTTCTACGGCAAAACGGCGGCATTCTTCTAATGTTAGATCCTTCCACAGATACTTCTCATCATCCGTCAACTGGATCACCAAGGGGATATCAAATACATCTTGAAGCCATCTGGAACAGGGAGGTCAAATGAGGTTATGAGTAGAAGTATGAATTCTGTTAGAAGTATAAGTTTCACTGATGAACATTATTTGTTGCTGATAACTTCTAGAGTAAATTAGTTTAATTCAGGATAACTAAATTAATTGCTTCGTGTAATGGCTCTGTAGTTACACACTTTATAGGGAGAACTCACTTTGTGAAGATGAAGGGGATGAGGTGACCAACGTGCATGGCCTCTGAGGAAGGACCCCTGCCGGTGTAAAGGTAGAAAGACTTGCCCTTCTCATAAGCATCAAGCACCTGATGCATATCTCTGCAGAACATAGTGAGAGGACAAACCTGATTTATTGAAATCTCATTCCTCCGTAGCATAAACTGTTATGCTAACACCAAAAATCATTGAGGGGAGATTTTCTCTCTGGATGTTGGAAAGCAGAAAGAACAAAAACCTGTGTGAGAAGAAAATTCCTCTTCGTAGAAAGCGATGAGGTTTCTGTCCGGAGACCTTTTCTATTCTATCCACCAGCTCTTTTTCAATCTTACTGCTGCCAAACCTCACTAAAACCAGGAAGACATTTATTCAGCATTCAATATAAATTAGCTTTATATCAGATTTTGAGGCCACGAGAATCATACCTATGAGTTTGTCATAATCGACTCCCTTGGCGTTGGTGGTTGAAACGTTCCACGGGTCAACTGTGTCCTCGTCGTCTGCACCATCTGTTGCCGGCTCATTATTAGATACGACCATGTTTTCTGGTGGCGGACATCCTGCTTTATAATCCTGACCCGTCATCTGTTTGTAGTCTGTTTTCAACTTTAACAGCAGCTGGACAGCAGCCTCAAGGTCAGCCTGGAAAGGCGAAATATAACATTAAAAACAGGTGAATTTCAGCTGAAAATAAATAAAAAAAACAACTTAAAAAAACAGCACATCTCCGGTTAAATATAAGGAGAGCAAAGCAGGGATCTCTCATGTTTGTGTACTCACGTATACAACCATGTGAATGAGACAGCTGCTTGAATTATCACAATTTCTTCAAATGATGGAGTGGAAAAAAAGCCTTTTGAAACAACACTAAACCATTTTCTTACCCAGTAGCAGCAAAAGTTTAAGGAGAGAGTGTGAAACATTGAATACTCGCTAAACTTCCTGAAATTATTGCGTAAGTGAGATGAGTTATTTGGTCTAAATTGGAATACAGTACACACAAACACTAAGACGCTGTGCTAGCTTGCCTACTGAGCAAAAAAATAAAACACTAATCGCACTCCAAAATGGGGGAGTGGTGGGGCAGAGTGAACCTATGAAGTTGAACCTGTTATCAGAAAGTTGCTGGTTCAAATGCCCTGCTGACCGTACTATCACGTGTGACAATATATAATTTATAGATAATAGTTTTGTCTCTGCCATATTCCTGACCCTGACTTCTGGCATTAAAATATATATTTTTCTTCTTCTAGGGTAGTGGTAGAAATGTAAATCTGAGCACTGAAGTCATTTACCTTGTCTGCTTTAGCTGTTTTCAAGCACCTGACTTTGTCTCCTTGTTCATTCAGTCTCTTGTAAAGCTCCATCGGGGTCTTGGCTCCTTCCACGTTTCCTTGGCTGTCTGTCATCTCACTAGTCAAATGAAGGGGGAAAAATTAGATTAAAAAAAACAAAACAAACAAACATGTATAGCTGTTTTTAAGAAAGTTACATGTTCCGGCAGGCTTACGTATAATACCAATAGATTTTCTGATCTAACTTCACTGGTTTTCCTTCTGCAGCAGCCGAAAAGACCATATCATATGGGAGTCTGTACAATATATCGTATGTGAACATGCGGGATCAAAGTTATATCTTATCTTAACATTAGCTAATTCGCTAGCTAATCGTTACTGATACCACTCACTTCACTGAAATTAAAAGATGTCATTTTCAGCAAATCATAACATTATTGATACTATTATATTTTTATTAAACAGATAATGTTATTTTTAATTTTATTAGCAGAATACCGTATAATGTTGTCCACACAGCTGACAGCTCACTCATTCAACTTGCATCAGCTTGGTTCGTGCTAGTGTTTGAGTCAATTTCTTCCCCCTAGCAAACCAGTTTGTTCATTAGTTCCGGCATGGAAAAGTTCAATTCTGAAAACTACGTTATACACATCTAATACACGTAAATGTTTCGGTGTTTTTCAGCATGAATTTATGTGAAACTCGTGAATGTCAATGAAAGTTATTTAATAAACAACGTTTCGCGACAGACTGGCACATCTTCGGTTCCTACCTGTGGTTTTCAAAATAAAAGCTTTGAAATGGAGAATGAGTCAGACTTTAAACCGGAGCATTGCTTTTATTCTGAAATTCTGCGCGTACAAAAATGATTTTGCGGGATGTTAAACGCATAGACGTATTTATGTCTATGGTTAAACATGATAAAATAAAAATAACCCTCACACGTCTGGTCAGTTGATGGCATCTTCAGACTGCAGGTACAATAACGAAGGGCTCATTTGGTTTCGGTTCCCTTTATCGTGTAGGACACATCCGGTTTTTAGACTGAACGAAGAGCGACCACGGTTAGCTAAAATTGCTACAGTGGTTGTTTTCATGCACAGATGCTACATCCATACATGTGATAACGTTAATAAACAATACAAATATAGCGTCTTTTGACAATACTCTGTAAAAGAAGCATAAATACTCTTTGGTTTTTGTTTTGCTTGGATTTGATAATGTTCACAATTTGCCCACTTCAGTTTGTTTTGGCTGAAGTAACATTGAACAAAACTAGAATTAAATAATCAGATTATAATTGGTAGGAAATTAGCTGAAATTTAAATAATAATAGTACAATTTTAACAATGTATTTAGAAACAGTTTAATATTTAGAAATAAATAAAAATAGTATATGTTTTTAAGGAAAATGTTGGTTCTGTTGAATTAATTAGAGGAGTTCTTCCTATCTGGTGTTTTATCTTTGTTATTATTGGAGTTTTCATCACAGAATATTTTTCTTTCTTGCAATGAAGATAGACAATGAACATTTTAAAGTTTCTTTGCGTTTCTAAAACAAATTAAAACAACAGTATATCACATCTTTGCTTGTAATCAGATTAATCTGATGACACATTCTTCTGTGCTGTTAATTTCCTTGTGTCAGAAATAACTCCTGTAAAGGTTATTTGAGTTCACCAAGTAAAGACTGAGTCTCCAATATTAAGTTTTTATCAAATGTATATATTTTAAGTGGCTTAAAGAAACTTCATATTAGTTCATGTGAAATTTAGCTGTATACAATCCAGTGACTCGTGCATTCAATTAAACAATACCTTGTAGTTTATATTTAGTACAATAACATAACAAAGTCATAAGGAAGGTAAGTTGAAAATATAATTAATTGTTAAATGTATCATTGTAGTTGAACATGCAAAAATGTGAAAATACTCGTCCTTTTTGTTGTAAAATAGTTGACCTTTATTTTCTCCTTGCTTTAATCAGGTTGCTCTGTTGGGAAATCACTGAACTTCATCATATTATAGAAAATGACTCGTGTTAAACTGTCATGTCACAAAACATATGGCCATTTGTTTTTATGCTGGATGCCCTTCCTGATACAACCAATCTGCAGCCTCATTACAGTATTTCAAGACTTCATCTTTGACCTCTGACCCCCTCAATGTGCCTTTAGTTGTATAAAAGCAAAGTGACCACTAGATGTCACTCGTGAGCCTTTAATGAGCTAATAATAATAACTTGTTTTATTTTCAGTGTTGCATGAAGATGTCTTCACTGGTGGCCTATGATGATTCAGAGTCAGAGGATGAATCCTTTCATCAGGAGGAGGAGGGCACATCCGCTTCTGCTAAAACTTCTTGTGAGCAAGAAGCTGCTAAAAGTGTTGTTTTCAAAGAATCTGTCACTTCGGCCTCTGACCAGACAGTTTTACAACCAGAAGGAAGCAGTTCTTCACCACGTTTTTATTCTCAGCCACAGTCATGCGCAGACTGGGAGAGAAACGTTTGTAGTGACAGTTCAGTTCTTCTGCACTTACCTGCAGCTCAGGGAAGCGTTGCACCCCTGCAGCCTCCTTCGTGCATCCCAAGAAGCTTTAGTGATGGAACCAATCCAGCAAAAAGACTACCCACTGTTTTGTCTGGTGTTAAACCGTATGTCTCAAAGAGAAAGAGGCTTTCTGTGGAGTCAATGAACCCAGAGCGCCCATCAGAGCAAGACCAGGGGGACGAGACCAGGAACAGTCAAATTCTGTCAGATGCGCCTCCGCGACTGAAGGCCTATCTTGGTGAAAAGCCAAAAGCAGCAGGGATACCGAGGAAAGTTCAAATGAGCCTGGAGGGCCACCGAGGCCCAGTTAACACGGTGCAGTGGTGTCCTGTTCCTCACCTCAGTCACTTGCTGCTGTCTGCCTCCATGGACAAGACGTTCAAGGTAACTACAGCCACAGCAAAACCAGCATGTGCCGTTAAAATGAGCACACTTAAAAAACTATGTGGCGCACTTTCACTTAATTCAAGTCAGTTTATTTATAAAGCACCAAGTCACAACAGAAGTCGTCTCAGGGCACTGAACAGAAACATTCATATATATAAAAAGTCAGTTAATAACATTGTTTATCTCAGGAGCAGGCTCTTCATCGCAGACTCATCTTGAGCTTGAAGGCGACAGTGGAAAGGAAAAACTCCCTCACGAGGAAGAAACCTTCAGCAGAACCAGGCTCAGGACAAGCGGCCGTGTCATTCCCCAATCTGTTACGGAAGCACGATCCGTAGTGTACTTCCGAGTCGCACGGATTGTTTATGAATAAAAACGGTTTTAATTCACTTAGAGAAGTACGTGCTCTATCTCCACCGATCTTCATGTAGCTAATTTACGCCACGCGTATTTTCGTTACAAACCATTAGTTAAGATGACATGCGACGCATTAGACCTGACCCCCAGCCTGGACTGAATGAGAAAAACCCTGCAAGATACAGAATGAATTATTTCCACGGTGAAACAGCATCGCTCAGTGGTGAAGCTGCAGATCAGTTGAACCATGACGTAAATATGTCAGTGATTTGAGCAGAAATAGGACTGTCGTAAATGAGCAGCATGAAAATCGGCAGCGATAGAGCACATAGTTTTCTAAGTAAAGACAGTTCTTATTCATAAACGGAATTATACTAATACATTTTCCTTAATCTTGCTTATTCAAAGGCGATCCGTGTGATCCGGAAGTATTCCTTTTAGCGCATGTGCAAATGAGCAACACTACAGATCGGGGAATCACAGGCCAGCTGCTTCAACCGGCTGAGTTTAGGAGGAACAGGAAGGAGGAACAGATACACAATGGCAGGTCAAGAATCACGTTAAGATAGAAATAATATCAAATGCAAACGATTTAATTTTAACAATTCATTTAAGAAATGTGGTCAGTTTGTCCTCCAGTAGTCTAAGCTTAAGGCAGCATAACAATCCAACCCTAACTATAGGATTGATCAAAAAGGAAAGTCTTAATCCCAGTCTTCAAACTGGACAACGTGTCAGCGTCACAGACAGAAACTGGAAGTTGGTTCCACAAGAGAGGAGCCTGATAACTGAAAGATCTTCCTCCCATTCTGCTTTTGGAAACTGTAGGAACCACAAGTAAACCTGCACTCTGAGAGCAAAGTGCTCTGTTAGGAAAATATGGAACAATATTTCGAATATAAGATGGAGCTAGGTTGTTGATAGCTTTGTAGGTTAGATATAGGATTTTGAATTCTATTCTGGATTTGACAGGGAGCCAATGGAGAGAAACAAAAACTGGAGAGAGATGATCTCTCCCATTAACTCCAGTTAAGACTCTGGCAGCAGCATTTTGGATCAACTGAAGACGTTTTTAAAAAGTATTTGGACACTCAAATAATAAACCATTGCAGTAGTCCAGTCTGGACGTGACAAATACATGGACCAGTTTTTTCTGCATTGTGAGGGACCAGACTTCAACAAAGACAAAGGGGTTCAAAAATCAGCAAAAATTTCAATTTAATAGTTCCAAAAAAATAGTTAAAGAATCAAATTTCAATGAAAAATAAATCAAAAGATAAATAACAAATTTGGGCCCAACTTAATGAGGTCAACTGAACACTAACAAAACTGACCTGTTAACAAAAAGGGCTGCTTAAAGAGGGCCGGAGTAACCTAAATCTGCCACATGAGGGAGGCACAACATAATAAAGGGACAAAAAAAAAAAAGCTAAATTAGCTAAAACAGCATATGAAACAAATAAAGCAAAACTAACTTTAACTTAGCACAAATAATAAGCGACTATTAAAGTGACAAAATTAACTAACTAACGCCAAATTTAATAAATAAAGTCCCCCCTCCCCTCAGTCTTTTAGATAAAGTGGTATGTTCCAGGCTTCCTCCTCCAGCTGATCTGTATTTGCAGCGCCTCAAAACAAAAGAACAAGTGTTCGTAAACCATTCAGACAAATATTAACTAACGTGTGCACCCATCAGAAACTATATGTCTAAATAAAATACCTTAAACTTATACATAATGTAACCTGTAACTAAAATTAAATAAATACTAACACGATGTGGTGGTGGTAGAAGCATCCACCACACACATCATTTTTAGATGTTTCTAATTTTAGTGATATTACACAGGTGGAAGAAGGAAGTTCTAGTCACTTTTTTAATGTGGGGGATAAAAGACTGATAAAAAATAACACCAAGATTTTTAACATCAGAGCTGGAGGACACATTAATGCTGGGACACATTTGACATGACCTCTGAGGTGGCCTACAAAAACAAACCATTTAAATTCTCTTACAGGGTGCTCAGACCTTGTTTAGCAGGTCTGTATACTGTATATGTACAGTGGGGTCTTATCAGTAAAGCTTAAGGCAGACACGTTTAGATGATGGAGACAGAAACGCATCTGCCTTGTTGCTTCAGTTCATGAATCCACCACAAACCTCTTCCTGCAGGATCATGTCCGTCACCGTCAGCTGAATGTGTGTCAGGACTCGTGGGACTTTCGTTTCTCTCCCTCCTTTAGTTTTCCTTCTCTGTGTCGCTCGTTCTGGTCCCCCGCCCCCCCCCCCCCCACGCCCTCCCCTGGCTTTTCTTCATTTCACACTTAGAAAACAATCCCTCATCCCTCCAATCGTAAAGGTCAAGCAATCCAGCTATCCACCTGCCAGTGTCTAAACATTTCTCCTCCAGAATGAAATCACGTAGCACGCCAATATCCTCGGAGAACTCCGACTAATTAATGATTTAAATATGAATGAGTTCATTTGCATAATCACACAAGTTCTGCCACCTAGTCTGGCACCTGGAGAGGGTGCGTGCAGCAGATGGTGGCGGCTAGCAGAGGATGGTCTCTTCTTTATCTCAGAAAGCCCAACCAGTTTGTTTTAGTTTGCTTTATGCAAATTTAACAGCAAGACGAACGCATCAGGTTGTCTTTTTTTTTTTTATCTCAGAGCACGACTTGTGAATAATTTCTACCAGATTTGAGCTGTGAAAATTTTAAACGCCAGATCAATCCCACAAAACCACTCTGTTTTTTCTCTGATTGGCGGAGATGATGTTCTCGCGGTCACGGTGTTTGTTTCGGTGCAGGATTGCGTTATTTACTGAAATAACAGTAAAATATGGCGTGCGGCTGTTCAGACGTGTAGATGCGTTTCACGCCGAGGTCACAGAAGATCCTTTTTGACTCTGTGGTTAAACTGTAACCATGGCAACAATATGATGTCTCCAAACACTCAGCTCTCAGCTCCCAAATTTATTTTTTAAATCTTATTTTAAGAAACTGCTGAAACAAGTCGGACTGCATGCATTTGAACATGTCCTTGTTTTTTTTTTTTTTGTTTTTTTTAGCTTGTTTAAATAAGATTACTGATCAGTTCAGATCATTCATGTCTTATCTGAGGGAATATGATTTTTGTGGAATCTTTTTTGTACTTTAATAAACTTTAATGGCATTTTAATAGCTAGCTTTGTTTAATCAACAGAGCTCAACGAAAGTGAATGAACTGTCACTGAAGATAATTATTGACTCCAAATCTGCTACGTTGTAAATATGAAACACATGAATTGTTTTTGTTGCATAATCAAAAACAGGTAACATAAACAAAAAGAAAGAAAAAAAGAGGGATTACTGTATTTTTCACTGTATAAGTTGCACCTTTTTGCATAAATTTGCAAATCCTGCGACTTATTAGTCGTAAAGCAACTAATATCCTTTGGTCCCATATTTATAATCCAATTGTTGGCTGAGATCTGACGATTTCATTCATTCTGACATGGAAAATATTGAACACTACCATTTTCAGCCACTAGACGGTGCTCAAGTTGTATGGCAAGCCAAGTGTCTCATTAATAGGTAAAAGTGGCTATTAGTGAAAGACTTGACTTGCCATACCAAGCCACCTTCATCTTGCTCCCGAACTCCTGGAGCAAACGTCAAATCAGCTGCATTTTGCTGCGCCGCCCAGGAGAAATGCAGCTGATTTGACTGTCAAAGTGCATTTATTAAAGAAAAGTTCAACTGAGACACACCTTTGCTATAATGTCGAACAAACAAATAATAGTTTTTAAGTGTTAATCTTGTTAAATTCTTGTTGAAGTCCTCCCGTGCATGCTCTCGCGGCTGCCATTTAGCAGCCAATCGATTTCTGACACAACACCGGCCCACATTTCCAGGTTGTCGGTAGTTACGTGTAACAAACGCGACGCTGGGGTTGCATGAGCGCTTGTGGCATGCGCAGCTTGCATGTCTGGAAAGGCACCATTAATGCAGAGAACTATGTTCAGGTTCTAGAACAACATATGCTCCCATCTAGACGTCATCTCTTTCAGGGAAGACCCTGCATTTTTCAACACGATAATGCCAGACCACATTCTGCAGCAATCACAACATCATGGCTACGTAGGAGAAGGATCCGGGTACTGAAATGGCCAGCCTGCAGTCCAGATCTTTCACCTATAGAGAACATTTGATGCATCATAACGAGGAAGGTGCGACAAAGAAGGCCCAAGACGATTGAACAGTTAGAGGCCTGTATTAGACATGAATGGGAGAGCATTCCTATTTCTAAACTTGAGAAACTGGTCTCCTCTGTCCCTAGACATCTGTTGAGTGTTGTAAGAAGAAGGGGGGATGCCACACAGTGGTCAAAATGGACTTGTCCCAACTTATTTGGGATTTGTTGACGCCATGAAATTTGGAAACAACAGATTTTTTCCCTTAAAATGATGCATTCTCTCAGTTTAAACTTTTGATCTGTGATTTGTGTTCTATTCTGAATAAAATATTAGATTTTGGCACCTCCACATCATTGCATTCAGTTTTTATTCACAATTTGTTTAGTGTCCCAACTTTTTTGGAATCCGGTTTGTAGTAAGTAGTAGGAGTAGTTGTAGTTGTAGTAGTAGTAGTAGTAGTAG